ACCAGGACTAGGTCTAAACCAGGACTAAACCAGGAACCAGGAACCAGGTCTAAACCAGGTAAACCAGGACTAAACCAGGAAACCAGGACTCTAAACCAGGACTGAACCAGGACTAAACCAGGTCTAAACCAGGTCTAAACCAGGACTGAACCAGGAGGTCTAGGTCTAAACCAGGACTGACTAACCAGGACTAAAGGTCTAAAACCCGGTCTAAACTAGGACTACACCAGGTCTAAACCAGGACTGAACCAGGTCTAAACCAGGTCTAAACCAGGACCAAGCCAGGTCTAAACCAGGTTTAAACCAGGTCTAATCCAGGTCTAACTAGGTCTAAACTAGGACTACACCAGGACTGGACCAGGACTGAACCAGGCTTAAACTAGGTTTAAACCAGGTCTAAACCAGGACTAAACTAGGACTTAACCAAGTCTAAAGCAGGACTTAACCAGGTCTAAACCTGGTCTAAACCAGGTCTAAACCAGGACTACACCAGGAGCGCAGCATACCCACCCGTAAAATTCCACAACATTAAAATCCGCCCGATTCAGCGACTATTTGCACATACGACCTGCTGCAGGACTCTGTCACACATCCACACAAACCGTGAATATTTAGGCTGAGTTCTTCTCTCAAACGGAAAACCACTGTGTTTTTAAACTCCACACATCTTCACTAGAATCATGTGGATAATTTCAGCTCTGGAATTACCAATTTCTACTGAACTAAAGTTAAAACGAGCTGTTAACTTGAAAACTAACACTTCATGACATCACAAACTGGAACAGAGCATTTTGAGCTTTGGAGATGTAGACAGACTAATAACGTGGACCAAAATATTGACGTGATAAACACAATCACGATCAGGTTGTTGTCACTTATTGTTCATAAAGAACAATATAAACGATAAAGTTGACTTGAATGTGATTTTAGCGCCCTCTCCTGGTCTGATGTTGTGTGTTTGTGTCTGTGTGTGATTGTGTGTTTGTTGCAGGTCTGTGGCGGAGCAGGAGAGGCCCTTCGCTTTGGGGATGCAGTTCGTGCTGCTGAGGACCCTGGGTAAGGTTTACAAATACACGTAGAGATCAAATCATGTATCTCTCGATCTGTGGCAGTGTACAGTACTTTGCATTTCAAATATTTACTACATTTACATGGACGTTCATTCATCTCTGTTCACCTTTGAGTTGTCCAAGGGCGTAGGTTTGGTTTCAGGTTTGGTGGGGACATTATTGGAGTCTGGGCAGGTCCAAAATAAGTGAGAGGTGGTTTAATTTTTCAGTTTGTGTCCATTGTCCTTCTAAGATGATTCTTTAGCAGATGTAGAAGTTTGTAGCAGATTTCCCTTTGCTTGTTGGTGATGAGATATTTGTGAGGTCATGTCCGTACATTTTTCCATGGAATATTGTCAGTAGAGTCGGGGTCTCACAGCGCATGAGTAGGGAGTAGAAACGCGTTATAAAAGTAACAAATTACTGTAATGTGTTGCTTTTTGCTGTAACGCAATAATGTGGCATTACAGGGAAAAAATTGTAATATTTTACTTGGTACAAATGTGCATTTTAACCTGGGTTGAAGTGGTGGGTTTTTTGTTTTTCAAATACAAATTTGCTAAAATCACGGCGGTATCAGTGGCGTTGAAACACTATCGTTACGATTCCGAGTGTCTGGACGGGCCCGTAGGTGTGCCCGCGTAGACTGTCGGGTGACCGCGGGCAAAAGGACCGACGCAGAACCCCATGCCGCGCAGGTCTAAGGGGCTATCGCGTTTTGAGGACACTCTGCTCCACGGCCTCGGGGTTCTCTCAGGGGCGCTCCTAGATTCCAAGTCCTAGTCCAAGATTAGTCCTGGTTTGGTCCTGGTTCAGTTTTGGTTTAGAACTGGTGTAGTTCTGGTTTAGTCCTGGTTTTTTCCTGGTTTAGACTTGGTTTAGACCTGGTTTAGTTCTGGTTTAGTCCTGGTTCAGTCCATATACGGTGCAAAAGTTCGACATCTTTGCTCAGTTATTTTGGTGAGAGTAACTTAAAAGTGCTGTAATAGTTGTGTAATGTCTAATATTTTAAATACACTAATATTGTAATGAAACAAATTATTTTGAAATGACAGTAACAAGTCATAAATAAATAACACGTTACAGTTTTGAAGTAACTTGCCCAACAGTGGTGTCAATAGTCGCTCTTTTTCCACGGCGACTCATTATAAGACAAGTTTAAATGAAGGTGAAGCCGAGTAAGTTCATTTTGAAAAGTTTTTCAAAGTTTGGTGCAGCGTCTTCACTCACGCCTGCTCGAGCCGACATCTTCGGGCGCTGGCCCTGTCCTGCCGCTTCCCCAGTTTAGGCTCCTGGCAACCAAAAACATGCTACACAGGTCTCCAGGAAGAACAACTGATACCTAAAGTCAATTAAATACACTCAATCAATGAACCTGCCCTGGGACGACAAGTGGAAATGAGCACTGGCGCTACAACCTGCATCTCTCCTGTTAAGGTTAATGTATATTAACCACTGTCCCGGTCTCAATAAATAAATAAATAAACAAACTGACATCACTCATTTGCAGCCAATGAAACAGCGGCAGGAGTAACCCTGTCGTCACTGAATGCATCTCAGAACGTCTAAGAAACAAAATGTGAAATAAAACGTGTTAAAGTAATAATACTGAGTTTGGAAAAATATCGGAATGAATTTATATTTGTGTTTATTAAACTAAAATGGCAAATATTGGTAGGGAATATTTTGTCTTCCCCAAATATTGATTGTCCCCACTGTCCCTATGCAAACCTACGCCCTTGTATGAGTTCTATTTTAGACCTCGCTTAGCCCCAGAGATTGTTTAATCCGTTGTAGGCCTGGTTTAGATTTGGTATGATATTTTTGACAGTACTTGGTGTGAAGTTTGAGAACCATTGCTCCAGTCAGAGGGTTTAAAATTCCTGCTTCTCTTTGTTGCCGTGTTAAATGCAAATGGGAGAGAAACTAGATTAGAATGAAATCAGATGTAAACATTTCTCTTTCTTTTATGGGGCCAGTAGTTCTGAAAAGTTTGAGACTGTAGACGACTTTCAAATATCAAAGTATGAAATGTAAAGTGAAATCAGATTTACAGCCGAAGAGTTCAAATTGCCCTTGACTCCTTCTCGAGAGGAAGCTCGGTGGCGGGTGATACTTGTGTGTAAAACCGTCTTTGTGGCTGAGTACGTCTAAATGCAGTGGTATTGGAGGCTGGACGTGAAGGCGGACGCTCAGCTAAAAGCATTGATTGAGCGGTGCTGAGAAGGCGGGTGGAGTTAGTGCAGACGGAGCACAGCTGTCAGGCTCATCCGTCAGAGCAGGGTGTGGTCTGCGGAGCCACGGCACGACCACGTGAAGCTACAGACTGACATCAGCAGTGGAGGCAGCACAAAACTCAGTCAAATCAGAGAAACAGTTTTCTTGGAGCCAGAACATGCTTCCGGTCTCTGTAAAGTGTATATGTAATTTGTGCGTGTGATGTAGAATCGTATTTTTCGGACTATAAGGCGCAAAATCAATAATGTTGAATTCTCTCGTCTATTTTCATACATAAGTTGCATCGGATTATAAGGCACATTAAGCAAAACAAATGAACGACACTTGAGACTGACACTTTAGCCCAGGCATCCACGATCCATTCGCAGATCGTGGCATAAATCACCCGGTGTTTCCTCCCTGTCTTGGTGAAATGTAGGGCTTTATACTTCTTGTTTTTATGCAGTTACTGGTGTTAAATTGCTGAATTGTGCATTGTTACTGTGAGCGAGGTTACCTCTCCACAGATCTGACTTGTAATGTAGCTTGGCGGCATAACCTGCTTGTCTCAGAAAAGAAATAAGCTTACGGTTTGAGGTCAGTAAGCACAACCAGAAATAATACGTAAGACGCACTGTTGATTTTTGAGAAAATTAAAGGATTTTAAATGCACCTTATAATCCAAAAAAATATGGTATATGTGTGTAATCTGTGTGTGTAACATGTAAGTGTGTATAACATGTGGGTGAACATGTGTGTAACTCATGTCCAACATGCGTTTGTGTGTAACGTGTATGTAATGTGTGTGCTTAACGTGTGTGTAACGTGCACGTAAAATGTGTGTGTAAAATGTGTGTGTAACATGTGTATGTAACATGTGTGTGTAACGTGTGTGTAACATGTGTATAAAATGTGTGTGTAATGTGTTTAAGATGTGCCTGTAATGTGTGTGTGTGTGTAATGTGTGTGTTTCACATGTGTGTGTATCGTGTGTGTAACATGTGTGTGTATCATGTGTGTGTAATGTGTGTGTAACGCGTTTAAGATGTACCTGTAACATGTGTGTAACATGTGTGTAACATGTGTGTATTGTATGTGTGTCAAATTTGCGTGTAACATGTGTGTGTAACATGTGTGTGTATGTGTAACGTGTGTGTAACATTGTGTGTGTAACATGTGTGTGTAACGTGTGTGTAACTTGTGTATAAAATGTGTGTATAATGTGTTTAAGATGTCCCTGTAATGTGTGTGTGTAACGTGTGTGTTTCACTTGTGTGTGTATCGTGTGTGTGTGTAACGTGTGTGTATCGTGTTTAAGATGTGCCTGTAACATATGTGTGTAACGTGTGTGTATCGTGTGTAATGTGTGTGTATCGTGTGTGTGTAATGTGTGTGTAAAATGTGTGTTTTACAAGTGTGTGTAACGTGTGTGTAACTTGTGTGTGTTTCAGCGTACATCCCCACGCCCATCTACTTTGGCGCGGTGATCGACACCACGTGCATGCTGTGGCAGCAGGACTGTGGCGTGCACGGCTCGTGTTGGGAGTACGACGTCACCTCGCTGCGCTTCGTCTACTTTGGCCTGGCCGCCAGCCTCAAGTTCCTGGGCTTCCTCTTCATCTTCCTCACCTGGTACTCCATCAAGTCTCGGGAGAAGAAGGTGGAGGTGTGGCTGAAGCGGCACCTCTCTCCGGCGGACACGGTGGGCAGCCTGGTGTGCCACCCGGGCGGGCACAAGGGCCACGCGCGCACCCGCTCCTGCCCCGTCAATATCCCCCGCCACGAGCCCGCCCCCCTCAACCGCGGCGTCAGCACCCACTCCTGCCCCGGCAACGAGCTCCAAGCCCCGCCCCCGGACACGCCCATGGCCCCGGACACGCCCACACCCACGCCTACGCCCGACACCCACCGCTCTGCCATGGTCTGACTGCAGGACCGAGCGCTCGAATAAGCCGCTGAAACTCCCTGTCCCGCGCTGTGGTGGGCGGGGTCTGCAGTGGCGGGGTCTGTACTGGCAGGGGGCACACTGTCCGGGAAGCTCTGAGACGCTGGGCACACGGTGAGCTCTGTGCCCGCTGGACCATGGACCCAGCTCTGTCCCGTGACTGACCTGAAATAGTTTTGGACAATCTAGCTGTTTTACAATTAGAAATCTAGTGATGTTGAGGATTTTTGAATGACTAAAAAAGCCAGTGGAGTGTTACGACGAGCCTCACGACGCGCACATCGGAGAGCGGCACATTTACCCCAGTGAATCCTCCCAAAAGTCGAGCGATTCTGGATGGTACAGGCTGGAGAAGTGCCCTTGAACATAGAACATGCCCTTGAATTAATAAGCGTTAGATACGAGTTAGGGATGCACCGATACTGAAAGAATTTGCTGTATCGGTTCCATGATAACGGATGGACCTTTAATTGAAAAGTATTTACAGGCTGATCTGGCAACGTCTCATAATATTTGACCTTTTACTAAAAATCAAATTATTGATATCGTTATCAGAACTAAAAAAGCTGGATCGGTGCATCCCTAATAAGAGTAAGACTTATTTTCCGAGCGAAAGATTCACATTTAAAAACAATAACAATAGGTGGAAATTAGAAAAAAAAAAAAAGAAAAGAAAAAGAAATACATACACAGTTTCAAATGTGCACTAGATAACTTTTTAGGAGGATGGAGATGTTATTTCTTTGTGTGGAATGTACGACTTTAAACTTCTCGCTTTTATACAATTATCGGTGTTAAATTGCTAAAGAATACCTTGAAAATCACGCGTTGTTGCCTCTCCACAGATCTGACCTGTAACTTGGCCTGCTTGTCTCAGAAAAGAAAGACAAGTTTAGTTCCTCGCAAAGCAATAACATCTCCGTAGAAACAACATTTGGGGCACCTGTCGTCATGAAAGTCAAATAGAAACATTTCATTAGTAGTTGATTTTTCAGATAGAAGACGTGTAAAATGACACACCATTTCCCACCGGAGAGTTCCCAATCACCAGTCAGTGAATTTTAGACGAGACGAGTTTTATTTGAAGTTATTTTATTTGACTAAACTGCAGAATTAGAGTGCAGACAATATTCTGACTGAAAAGATCTTTGTTCTGATCGCCCAAAAGTTCTCACGAGTCACCGCTAGTTCTAGTTTAGTCCTGGTCTAGTCCTGGTCTAGTCCTGGTCTAGTCCCGGTTTAGTCTTGGTTTAGTCCTGGTCTAGTCCCGGTTTAGCCCATGAATCTGCACAAGTTGCTGTTTGTGCCTGGTAGTGACATTCTTTTGTAGAGGCTAAATAAAAACCTGCTTGTCTGTGCAGCTGTGGTGAGTTCAAGGTGCATAGGACATTTGGGTTTCAGAATGTTCCCTCACCTCAGGGCTTTGTATTTGTTTGTATTTGTTCAGCAGGAAACGTGCATCAGTGTTTTTAAAGTAGTTTACAGGAGAGGCCTCGTAAGTAGAACGTCACAGCTGGGACGCCGTGTTGTTGCCAGATAAACAGGATCTGGCAACCCAAAGCAACAAGTTCGTTCAGCTTTCTGATTGGATTGAACAACTTTTAAGAGGATAAAATAATGAATGAAAATGAAAATTGTTAGCAGTAAAATAAGTATTTGATTTGAACCTGTTTCCTTCATGTCTGAGGACAAAGATGAGAAAAAATTATGAATTATTTGACAGCATTTTTAATTTAAAGTGACCCCCGTGTAACTTTCTGGAGGTGCCACATCATTTGCAAAGTTAAAAGCAAACTTTGGAACATTCTCCATGGAGACATTTGATGCTATATTGTGGAATATTACAGCCAAAGGAACAACGTTTCCATGAAAACAAGCAGGAGGAGGCCAAATAAGGCTACGTTCAGACTGCAGCCTGAAGTGACCCAAATCAGATTTTTTGGCCCCGATGTGACCTGTATCTGATCTTTTAATGACAGTCTGAACGACACAGATCCAATTTTTTCAAATGTGACCCAGGACACTTGGATATGTGCTCCTGAAACCGATACATATCTGATCTTTTGACATGTGACTTTAGTCTGAACTGCCAAAGTGCATTCATCCACCTACACGTTATCGACAAGCCACAAACGTCACTATTCTGCGCTGAAGTAGGCGAAAATTGTTAATGAACTCTGTGTCACTGAAGTGAAGCACATCACCACTCACCACTCTTGGCTCCGTCTCCACATCCACACGTTCCTTTCAACGGACTGTCCCACAAAACACCACGGCCAAAAACCTCGTCCTTCTCCTTCTCAATCTCCTCCTTAAAACAAGTAAGTTGTTCATGTTCTGGCTCCGGTACGAGAGGAACTTTAAAATCTCCAGGTGCTCAATGCTGCGTGTTTGGACAACTTCCGTAAACACAGAGACGCTCGCTGCGGTTGACGTCGTCGTGTCTCCAGTGCACATGCGGGACACTTTCGGGCCGTTTAATGTTCACACAGGAGATCACATACAAGTCACATTTAATTGGAAATGTCGGATTTCACAAAAAAATCAGAATTGAGCATTAATCCCTGCAGTCTGAACGTAGCTTAAGAGTCAGTTTTGTGAAGAAGCCAACTCAGAGTAGGAATGCATCTTTTTATGACATCGAAAATGAAAAAAAAACCAAACTGCTTTTATTTAACATTTAATTTCACTTCAAGTTTCAACAAAACGTGGGCTTAAACAAAACGTGTTCTGTTGTCTTTGCAATATGACACATTTCAGAAATTTAAATGCATTTTATACATTTTGTAATGTGGTGTGTTACACATTTTATTTTTGTTTCCTGTCGTTTTCTGAAATGTCAAACATGTTTAGATCGGGAACATTTACTGAACCAAAGAGCAGTCGGCGATGTCATGAATGAATCATTGTAATAAACAAAAGGGGCCGATGCTACGTTCACGGCCCGTCAGATTTGTCGGCGTTCCTGTGTGTGACGGATCCTGAACACCAGAAGAGGATTAAGGAACTGGGCACTAAACTCAAAAAAAAAAAAAAAAAAAAAAAAAAAGACCAGAAATGACATTGTTTTATACGTCACTTGAATGCAGCTCAAAAATTTGACATTTGCGTATGAGCCTGAACACAACAAGGTGAAATCCTCGATGTACAGAGCCCTCCTGCCCCGGCTGACCCCCGGCTGACCCCCGGCTGACCCCTGGCTGACCTCTGCACACAGCTTCAGTCTCACCTCTGGAACAGGTTTTAAACACTTGTTTGAGCAATAAACCGTACACACATTTGGAGAGTTTGAAACGACGGCGCGTGTAAGAAGTCGGAGAAGCTGCTGCTCTGGTCGTGTGAACATTCTCAAAAGGTCATGTATTGTGTTAAACGGACTTTCCAACAACGGTATGCACTTATATCTCAGTCCAGATCATATTTTTGGCTTAAATTTCATGTTTTTTGTTGTCTTTCTTCACTCCTCAATAGTTATTATAAAAGGGCCAGTATCTGATTTCGAACCATGACTCAGGAACATGTTTTAATTTTAACTTTTAACCCCGTCTTTTTAGTCTTTTCTGCTGCTGCTTTGACACATAACACAGAAAATACTGTTTGCGTCTGACTGAATAGATTCTGAATCAGATATTACCCAAGAAAATGCTTTTTTTAAGTGACTACGTTATATTTTACCGTCTCATTTTTTCTAATTTAGCTGCTTTAACCAAATAAAACATGAGGTAACAAGCATTTATTTTGACAATACATTGAAATCAGGTACAGGGCCTTTGATTTTCTTTTAAGTTATTACACGAAGACGTCATTAAAAGTAATTCAAACACACGACAGGAACACAACGGGCTCTATTCACGCTTACCGGAAGACGTTTGGAAACATGCGGATGACGACGACTTCCGGTGTCGTTCCCGACCGACGCTGGGCGATGTGATAAAACCGTGGATTCAGCAGCAGCGTTTTCACAACCTGACAAAGCTTTCACTTCGTAGAAACCGTCTGACCTCGCAGCATTAGGATTCGTTCGCTCGACGGTAGGCGGGTACATTTTTTTATTTTACCAATCGCTGCTGTTTGGTCGTGACGTATGTAATGCTCCGCCAACGGGGTTAACTGGTATATTAAGCTTGTTCCAAAACCTGTAGGAAGAAGGACAATAATGTCTTTCCCCTTGATAAAATTCACCGAACATTCTCTTTGTTCTGTCTTTAAATCCTCTATCTCAAGAATCGTTGCCAACACAGAATATATGGCTCTTCGTTGATTGGCTGGTGCCCGAACTTGCACTTCCGAGGTTCTTGCAAACCGTCTAGTGTATCTGATTCCTGACCTAGTCGCTGGAGAGAAATGAAATTGGTTTTTAGTGGCTTTTTCGAACTGTAGCTTCCTCACAGTTCGCACAAAGTTTGTTGCAATGGCAGACAAGAATCCAAGACCAGCTCGCTGCACAAGAAAGTTCATTTTTGAGGTTGCTGAAAGAAGAAGAGAAGGGAAAATGGAGCGAAGCCAAATTAAGGCGATTCTAGGAGATTCCTTCCAGCTATGGCGCAACTGAAGCAGACGAAGGGTCTAAAACAGGGGTCTCCAAAATTTTTCCTCTGGTGAGCTACTTTTACAAAACGAAAATGCCAGAGAGCTACAAGTTTTTAGCCAGGCTGGTGCCACCTAGTGCCTCCGCTCTCTTTCATTTCTCTCCAGCAACGAGGTCAGTTGTCAGCACAGAATGTATGTCTCTTTGCCGATTGGCACTTTTTTTTTTGCGAACCGTGTAGTGTATTCCGATTCCTGACCTACTCGCTGGAGAGAAATTAAATTGAGCGAAGGCGCTAGGTACGCGCCAGCCTGGTTAGTTCTGCTGATGGTGAGTCTGTTCTGTGCTTCTATCGCGTTGGAGATGGTTCATGTTAAACTTTTCGGAGATTATACGTCTGCAGATCGTATGCTTAGACCAATAGAACTATACTTCGCCCTTTAACGCGAAACCGCCTGAAACGGTAGTAAGTTGCAGCAGCCGATTTCGAGCCGAGGAAGATGGCAAGCGTAAAAGTTCTAGCCACGCTGTTTTCCCATTTATCTATGATTTGTTTAAACTGTTTTCCACAATAGCATCACACGACCGATGTCACGAACCCAGCGAAACAAGAAGGAGCAAGTCACAGTGACGTGGTCCAATAAGGACGCAACTAGAGCTCCTACGCCAGAGTATCAGCTTTTTCAGGCATCCACACAGTGCTGGATTAGAGCTGTACTCGGATGAATTTGTGGGAGTTGGTCTCGGCATCAGTGTCACTGCATCCACAACGAATATGACTCGAATACGAACTAGTGTGGACGGGACCTAAGTTAGACAAATTATAAAACACAAATTAATAGGCAATTTATAAAAGGAAAAAGAATACAATGACATTTAGATGAAGAAAACAAGGCCATTTTCTCAGTTCTCAGAGTTTCTATCACCGACAAAGCCCAAAGGAAGTCGTCGTCCGCATGTTTCCAAACGTCTGCCGGTTGAACAGAGCCGGCACAGGACTTTTTCTGTGTATCTCAAAACGACGTGACACTTCTGAAGGTGGTTGGGGCTGATGCGAGGAGCTGTGTCCTTCAGGATGTGGGCTGTAGGCTCATGTGCAGGCTCTCAAGATATTGACCATATGTCCACGGACTGCTCCAAACACAATGTGAATCTAATAAACACTCACTGGACTCTGTTTCTCTGCTCTGTTTTTTGTCTCGTTCTGTAGCCGTGCTCTAGACTGGTTTCCAAAGTAGTAGTGGCAAGGCGTGTAACGATATCCAAGTCTCACGATACGATATTTATTGCGATATTGTGGGAAAGCTCACGATATGATGGGGAGGCTCATGATTAGGGATGTAACAATATCCAAATCTCTCGGTACGATATTTTCACAATTTACATCTCAGAGTACGATATTTATTGTGATATTTTGCGGAGGCTGTGAACAAAACTGTTAATATGCTTCTTTTTCCTCTTAAAATGCCTTGACAAGACTTAACCCAAAGAAATAAGACTTAAAAGTGTTAGAACTGTTATTTCTTCTTGTCGTCTGCACTGAAATGGAGCAAAGGATCATGGTCTATGTAGTTCCCTCTGTCTGTTTTAGCTATTGCTGCACCATAACTCTTCATTTAAGCAAAGAGACTTGTAATTCGGTATATTGTGACGGTCCACGATATTATTGTGAGACTTTTGACGATACGATATCACGATATTTCTGTTACTGTTACATCCCTAGTAGTGGGGCTTGCTCAAATAATTAAATTAACTGTATTCAGCCTGGGCTCTTACAGATTTTAAAAGGTTACAATCACATACAGACCATGGATCTATTAAAATAACAGACACACACGTTTGTCTCAGGCTACGTCCAGACGCAGGAGCACTGAGTGAAAACGATGTAATCCTTCTGCCACACCTGTCTGTGGCGCGGTTCACAATAATAATATTTAATAATGCAGATCTCATCACTGTTTTTTAAACTTTAAAGGTTGTATAGAGGATTTTTTAAGGGAAGAGAAATACAGCGACGCTCCCTATTCAGATGTTGTTCATGCATGACACCACCTTCCTCCTCCACAGCGTCCTCAGTAGAAACAACTCCTCCCGCCTCCTGACTCCAGAAATCACGCTTGTTTACAGCCAGTGCGCGTTCAGAATTACTGTTGAAGTGACCTGTCTAGAAGTAATTTAGCGACTGATGCGTCAGTTTTTAGACTCCTCGTCGGCTTCAGTCGTGCCATCGCTTGAAGGAATCTCCAAGAAGCACCTCAGTTTGGCTTCGCTCCTTTTCCCCTTCTCTTCTTCTTTCAGTGACCTCAAAACTGTCTTTTGCGGCGAACTGGTCGTGGATTCTCGTCCACCATCGCAACAAACTTTGTGCGAATTGTGAGGAAGCAACAGTTTGAAAAAGCCTCCAAGAACCACTGCATAAACCACGTGATCCCTGCACGCCGATGAGTCAGTTACACTAGAAACGTAGGGAGTTTGATTGACAACCTAACAGCCAATAGATAAAGAGGTGGTCTCATTATCTATTGGCTGATGTTTCTCTGGCCTCACTACGTCCACAGTTGATAGATTTTCATTCTTTTTTTTTTTGGTCATCATAATTACAAGGCTGCTGCATGTCTGTAAGGGTATTTTAAACTTTCACTGACAATTTGAAACAAAAAAAAAAAATTTCAGCCTATTTTAGAAGTATCCAAGACATATAGAATTTTATTTTTATTTTTTTTTTGCAAAAGTTAAACATTAGCTTTCATTTTTAGTCATAAGATTTGGATGAGAATTATTAGAATAACTTAGTCTCAAAATCCAACAGTTTAATTACCCATGTGTAATCTTTGTTATTGATCCATGTGTGTATTTTGTGGTGTGTGTAACAGCGTATCTTGGTTGTTGGGCGACGGGAGAGGCTCCGTGGGCTACACCTGTCACATTTCGGTAATGGTTTCGCGGTCTGCGGAGGTGAGTTCGAGGGCTGCGGACTTCACTGCATCGGAAGACCCTGGCGATGACGGGGTCGCGACGTCATTGTTTTCCAAAAGCTGCGGTTTGCTCATCCATACGACAAAGCGACACCGGCGTTCTCAGATTTCTCCACTCTAGAACCCGTTCTCAAAAAACACTGTTTTCGCCGACACAAAACGCCAGCTCTCTGTGAACGAAAGGCCGAAACTAATACAAACTTCACCTTTTTGAGCAAAAAACATTGTTGTGTGAATAGGCCCTCATTCTCAGTTTATGTTCAGGCCTCATGTGAAAGCTTAGAACCTCCAGAATTCCCTCCCTGAGCTGCAGAGGCTGCACTAGCACTGACTCATGACTGACTGCAGGAGCTTTAGGCTTTAGGCAGTGACCATTCAGATCAGAGAGTATCATCATAAGCACTCATCTTCTGTATTTCCTGCAGTAGAGGGGGCGGGTTTCTGGACGCACTTAAATTGATTCAGTGTCTGCTTTCTTTGTTCTATAAATTTTACAGCAACTTCCACCTCCTTTCTGGTTTGGCTCCACTGTTCTCTGCTTTCTACTCCCAGTCTGTGGATCGAACAAGGAAAACAGGCATTGAATCTCTGTGTGTGTGAGTGTGTGTGTTTCCTTGACGTAAAGCTTTAAGCGCTTTGACTGTTCTGCCTCATAAATGCAAAACACCTTAACTCCCAGAGTGTGACACCGAGAAAAATGACTTCGAAGTTTCTGTTTTGTCCAGACAAAAGTATAATAAGTTGGGCTTCCGAAATTTGACAACTAGTCGCTATAATGAAGAAATATTTGCATGCGAAAAATACTGAGCTCAAAATTTACCTTTGCCCGTTTTTTGGCACGACTCCTTATTTTTGGCTCAAGATACAAAGGCAGAGTAGAGTAACTGTGCCAAATAAGGGTCAAAGATCAATTCTGAGCTTAATATTTTTCACGATATTTATTCACATGATAAAGGAGGTCTCAAGTACAAAAAAAATGACATGAACTCATTTGATGTTTCTGTCTTTGTAGGTAAGGAAGCATATAAAAGCGCAAGAAAAATGTCCAAATCTCAAGTTCTCATTGTTGCATAAAAGTCATAAAGCTAAATATCGTGCCTGGTCGGCGTGAGCAGATTCAAGATGTGAGGCCTTAATTCGAAGTGGGACAGATTAAAGAAGTCGGCGTCATAAACTTCCTGTTCACAACTGCAGAAGTGGCGGGTTTGGTTTCCTTTAGTTTCATTTCACAGTAACAAGAAGCAGATTTTCACGTGTGTGTGTTTTTATTTTTGGAAACGCCCGCGTGATATTTTCTGAGGCTACATGTAGGTCGTTTACTTGTAGCTTCTTTTCATTTCTATCATCAGAAGAGCAGAACACAGACGCAGTGAGGACGCTTTGGTGTTTTGATGTTATAGAGCAGAGTGGGCATGAATGAATGAACCCAAACTCCCCAAGAGTTACTGATCTGCACAAATACTAAAGTTACTAGCGCTGCCACCGGGAGTGAAGCCAGGCTGGGACCACCTAGTGCCTCCGCTCAATTTCATTTCTCTCCAACAACTATGGAGTAAGAAAGCTGTCAAAAATATTTGTGCGCGTAAAATAGAAATCCGTGCATATTTGGCTGTAGTTGCGCATAAAATAAATATTTGTAAACTCTTAAATGAGTCCAGTCGTACATAAAATATATTGTGTGTATTTTATCCATCAGAATACGAATTGAAAAATTACGACGTCATGAATTACAATCACGAAATGAAAATTTACGATTACGCTTTCATCAGTACGAATACGAATTCACAGACGGAACTTTACTGTCAAAAATACGTCATCACTTCACAGACATTATCCATCGAGCAGAAGAAACATCGATCAAGATCAAGACTGTGCAGCTCAAGTTTGTATCAGAGTAAAAACAGAGTAATGACACAAGGAGCAACAACAACAGAACAAGTGGGTTCATTAAAATCTATTGTAAAATGTCTTGAATTCGGGAACCGAACGCTGCTGTATAGTATTGTGTAGAAACACCTCCTTTGAACGGGAAATTGCACCTATATGTTAGAAAACATAGTGGAGCCAGTTGGTGAACATCCGACGTAACGTTATCCCAGGGCTCATTAGCAAATATCGGCGTTCTCTGTATGTTTAGATTAAAACATTCACGGCTACAGCCACTCTGTGTTTACCCTCTGCTACAAACTTGAGCATGCGCAGTCTTGATCTTGATCGATGTTTCTTCTGCTCGATGAATAATGTCTGTGAAGTGATGACGTATTTTTGACAGTAAAGTTCCGTCTGTGAATTCGTATTCGTACTGATGAAAGCGTAATCGTAAATTTTCATTTCGTGATTGTAATTCATGACGTCGTAATTTTTCAATTCGTATTCTGATGGATAAAATACACACAATATATTTTATGTACGACTGGAGTCATTTGAGAGTTTACAAATATTTATTTTATGCGCAACTACAGACAAATATGCACGGATTTCCCAAATACGCACGGATTTCTATTTTACGCGCACGAATATTTTTGACAGCTTTCTTACTCCATAAGCAACTAGGTCAGGAATCGGAATACACTAGATGGTTCGCAAAAACCCCGGAAGTGCGAGTTCGGGCACCAGCCAATCAGCGAAGAGACAGACATTCAGTGTTGTCAACGATTCCTGAGATCGAGGATTTAAAGCCGGAACAAAGAATGTTTGGTGAATTTTATCAAGGGGAAATATGTTATTGTCCTCCTTCCTGCGGGATTTGGGAAAAGCTTAATATACCAGTTAGTCCCGTTAGTAGCGCATTACGTACGTCACGACCAAATAGCAGCGATTGGTAAAATGATAAAAAGTACCTGCCAACTGTCGAGCAAATGAATTCTAACACTGCGAGGTACGTCCTTTTGTTTTCCTCCTCCTTTATGTAACGAACCGAAAATTAAGTTTTTCCGTAATGGAGCCCTACAGCGCAGAGTCCAGAGGAGGACCGATCCAGGACTGAACAAGGACTAAAACAGGAGTAAACCAGGACTGAAACCGGACTCGCTGTCGGGACGAGCTCGGAGGTGACCGCAGGAGAAAGGACCGTCTCAGAACTCCACACCTCATGGAATTAAGCGTGGCAATTGCCTGGTCCAAGTCCAAGATTAGTCCTGGTTTAGTCCTGACCCCCTGTGTGTAATTACTACCCACCTGTAATACGCAATAAGTGTTCAGATGCTGTTAACCCTCTTAGGCGCATGAACACTAACTTTATGTGTATATCACTTTTCATAACAATGAAAACATAAAGCACAGTGTAACAGCTTTACAGTGGCAGAACAACATCACTTTTTCGTGTGGTGCTCCAAGAAACAATTTTTATCCTTTGTAAACAAAAGTACTTTGCACTTCTGGCAGGCCGTTTGTGTGTAGCCGTTCTTGCACAGTCTGAATCGTCCATGTTTATCAGCACGGATGTGAAAAAAGGCTCCTGAGTAAAAAAAGCTCATAAAATATGGATGTGGCATAAGTAGCTAATTGGAATTTAGCTGTTGCAAATCTGCAACTCCTGCCTGGAGAGGGTAAAAAAAAAAAAGCATGCAAAATTGCACTAAAAAAAAACAGCAAAACAGCGAGACCCCAAAAGGTGAACCACAATATAGCGAGGGACGACTGTAACTTCTTATCCCATTTTACCTTTTCTTATAAAGATGTGCTGTTTGTTTTTTTGCAGTGTGCATCATACGAAAAGTCAACAATATTATAAAATTAATCTGTTATCAGTTGGTTTCGGGGAGGGAGTTATCTGATAATGTCGCCACCAAAGCCCAGTGTTGGGGAGTAACGGATTACATGTACCGCCGTTACGTAATCAGAGTACAAATTATGAGTAACTGTATTCCGTTACAGTTACTGTTTCAATGAGTGGTAATTGGATTACAGTTACTTTGCTGAAATAAGTGGATTACAAGGCGGTATTTTCCTGTTTTCACATTTTGTGCTACATCCCATTTATTTATTTTTTTATTTCGGTAATTCCACTCATTGCCGGAAACCCAAACAGAACGCGACAGTAAGAGCGATGTAAACGTCATGTTAAAGTTGGCGGTGTCAGTCACACAGTGGAAGCAGCAGTGCATTGGTAAAAACGCATTTGTGTCTTGGAAATTCTTCTCCCGATGTGAGATAAATATATTTAAAAAAAAAACAAATATAAAATCGCCTACAACTTAAATGTGAAACTGGAGCTACTGGCACTGGTGAAAACAACCTGCATAGACTCATAATATCTGCACTACTGTCCATATCACACACACACATCAAACACACACACACAAACACACACACAAACACACACCTTCATCATCGTCATCAACCTGAGAACCCGCGGACCACGTCTCCTTCCGTAGTTACAGCGCAGACACCGCCGTCTCGTGCGCCGCGTGTGGACCGTGTTTTCTCGCGTAAACCGCGCTTCCTCCTGTGCGCCTCTAAACCAGAACTAACACCAGGACTAAACCAGAACTAAACCAGGACTAAACCAGGACTAAAGCAGGACTGAACCAGGTTTAAACTAGGACTAAACCACGACTAAACCAGAACTAAAGACCTGGTAGACAAGGTCTAGACCAGGTCTAAAATCAGGAGTAAACCAGGTCTAAAATCAGGACTAAACCAGGACTAAACCAGGACTAAACCAGGACTAAACAACATGACACCTAACAGTAGGTTGACATAATTAAAGGTGATGTCATATAAAAAATAATTTCTCTATCAATAATATTTTTTAATCTGGTGAAGGAAAGGCTGATCTTGTTACTGTCTTTTAACAGACAAAACCTCTTATATTAAGATCTCGTGGTCTTTGTTTCTCTACAGTAAACAGTTGCTTATTCATGGAGACTTGGGCTCAGACAATTTGAAGACAACAAACAAGAATTTTCAGGATGTGGTCGCTACATTCATGTCGTTTAAAAAAACATGACAATATCAAGTAATCCAAAGTAATCAGATTACGTTACTCACTTTAAGTAATTTAATGGATTACGTTACAAACTACATTTTGGGGTGTGTAATCTGTAATCTGTAGGGGATTACATTTTAAAAGTAAATTTCCCAACACTGCCAAAGCCGAGACCAAACCTACGCCCTTGCTCCCCAATAATTACTGATCTGTGTAATTACTAAAGTTATTGGCACTGACACAGATAGTTTATTGTGGCATGTTTATACGACCTGGAGGAGCTCAAGTCCCCACAAATCATCATCAGATTATGGACAAAGCTGAAATCACAGAGACATTTGTCCAGGGGCCCTTCTCCTGTTCCAGTTCTAGGATGGCGGTCAGTCCCAAAGAAAACCCCAAACACATTCATACACAAATAAACACCGGCCACAGAAACTGTTCTTTGCTTTAGATTTATGACGAGAAAAAGTTCACGTGGAGTTGAGGCAAAAGTGACTTTAAAAACAAGAAATAAAATCAACAAAACCGAGTGCAAAATCATACAAAAGAAGTAAAGAAAATAGAAAACGAGCCAAACATTCCAGAGTCACATTATTTAACGGGACGCAATAGATTTTGCAATAGTTTCACTGATAAAAATAGGGACAACTCCAAGAAAAACCATAATAAAACGACAGCCCAACCCCGACTTATGAGTTAAAAGATAAAATTAACACTTGATGTAAACAGCGTCATCCTGTTGTTGCCATAGAAACCCAGGTCCACTGTTAAAATATTTCATTCAAACCAGGGATAGTTCCTTCATGTTGTAAGTGCTTCGGTTTCATTTAAGAACTAAAAAAAAAAAAAAAAAGTGAGTCCCAAGGCAGAACGTCCACCGTGGAGAAGTTTGACCAACACCACCGAGATGTTCAGCCACAACCTCCGGGACGAGACAACCTGGGGAAAGACACAGGGACACGTGAGATGCAATCAAATCACAGTGTTCAGTTTTATGTTGCTGTCGAAATGATCAGAGTTTATTCAAATACGTAGAAATATTTTAGACCCCTCCACCCAAAACCGCTTTGTGTGGGACCCTTCTTCTGTGAAATGACATGAGTCTGTTAAAAGAAAAGTGCTGCTATAATCCGTGTATCGTTCGTTCATTTGTTTTTCAAAATAAAACCAAAAATAAGAAAACGAAAAAATGAAAAGAAAAAACAGATAACGATTTGTTTTTTTTCAGTTTTTGATTTTGTGTTTAAAATGAATAATGTAAAAATGGACAAGGTTACAAGTTTCCATGACTTATACTGGGATACAGGACTGAACCAGGACTGACCCCGGACTAAACCCGGATAGATCCCTGGACTAAACCAGGACTAAACCAAGACTAAACCAGGACTGAACCCTGGTCTAAACCAGGTCTAAACCAGGTCTAAACCAGGTCTAAACCAGGTCTAAACCAGGTCTAAACCAGGTCTAAACCTGGACAGATCCCTTTAACAGATCCTTTACAGATCCCTTTACAGATCCCTTTACAGATCCCTGGAGTAAACCAGGGCTAAACCAGGACTAAACCAGGACTAAACCAGGACTAAAACAAGACTAAACCAAGACTAAACCAGGACTAAACCAGGACTAAACCAGGACTAAACAAGGACTAAACAAGGACTAAACCAGGACTAAAACAAGACTAAACCAAGACTAAACCAGGACTAAACCAGGACTAAACCAGGACTAAACCAAGGACTAAACAGGACTAAACAAGGACTAAACAAGGACTAAACAAGGACTAAACAAGGGACTTAGAGCGGGTCTGAGATCAGTTTAGTCCTGGTGTAGTCCTGGTTTAGTCCTGGTTTAGTCCTGGTTTAGTCCTGGTTTAGACCTGGTTTAGACCTGGTTTTAGACCTGGTTTAGACCTGGTTCAGTCCTGGTTCAGTCCTGGTTCAGTCCTGGTTCAGTCCTGGTCCAGTCCTGGTTCAGTCCTGGTCCAGTCCTGGTTCAGTCCTGGTTCAGTCCTGGTTCAGTCAGACCTGTTCAGTCCTGGTTCAGTCCTGGTTCAGTCCTGGTTCAGTCCTGGTCCAGTCCTGGTTCAGTCCTGGTCCAGTCCTGGTTCAGTCCTGGTTCAGTCCTGGTTCAGTCCTGGTTCAGACCTGGTTTAGTCCTGGTTCAGTCCTGGTCTAGTCCGGCATCGCAGTTTAAGTCACGGAAATGGGAAAAGGCCGTTATCTGTTTTTCACATTATTCATTTAAACACAAAATTGAAAACTGAAAAAACAAATTGTTGTGAACGAAGAAATGAACGAACGAACGAAACAGATTTGCTGTAGTCACATACAGTGTCAGATTCGTGAAATTTGGAACAAATAATCCTGACATGATGAGGAATACAACAATATAACCTCACAGGAAGATCATTCACAAACTCACGGGTTTTAAAGGGGCATAACAAGATCATTCAGAGCAAAATGTCAAGTGTTTTTAATCTATTGAACTATTTATACAGATGATTGGAACAAGAACAAGAACACCATGCAGTATTGGAGATTTATGGTGTGCCGTGTGTACGTACCTCGTGTGTACCCATGTGTCCAGGTGTTAGGTCCCAGGACAGAGGAGGCCTTTCTCTGCTTCATGTTTGTCCTCCAGCTCCTCGTCAGAATCTACATCAGAAACAGAATGAACCATTAACCAAAGACTGGACAGTTTGAGAAAGTGATCAGAGGAATTGCAAAAACAACTTTTCAGAGCTTTTCACCATCTCTGTTGGTGATAGTTACTCAAAATCTGGGAAAACTGAGAAAATGTCCCAGTTTTCTTCATCTAGACGTCATTGTGTTCGTCAGGGGCCGTACCTGCCACAGACTCTGGAGGAGAGTAGAACTGTCCGTCTGACAGGGGCCCGGGGCCGAGCAGAGGGGCCCGCTCCGCTCCACTCACCACTCCTGCAAACCCTGAACAGAACAAACAGACTGGTCAGTGTGAACTGGAAAGTTTTATGTTGACCTCTTTATGATAACAGAATGTTTAAACTTATTACAGCTGCTGATAGGAATCTGTTCTGATCTGGACATACTTTTGTCTGTCACATGTGTGCGTGTTCCTGTGTGTGCGTGGTCCTATGTGTGCGTGTTCCTGTGTGTGCGTGGTCCTATGTGTGCGGCCCTGTGTGTGCGTATGTGTGTTGCTGAATAGTTCAGCACTCACAGGCCTGGTCCAGGGCCTCCTGCGGCAGCACTTTGAAGTCCAGCAGCCAGGTCTCGATCCAGGCCAGGACGAAGGAGGAGATGGGGAGGAGATACCCGAACGCCCCCAGAGTCAGCAGCTGAACACACACACACACCACACACACACAGACACACACAGACACACACGAACACACACACACACGAACACAACACAACACACACACAAACACACACACAAACACACACACACACACAGTGAAGGAGTTGGCAGTCTGGACTGCTTTTGAGGCTTTTTAGGGGGTGTGATGGGTTAATCCCCGCACACTGAAATACACTCTCGAGCCGAGGCCTTACCTTAGACAGAAGGACTTTGACGATGAGGAAGACACAGCTGACTGTAGTGGTGATCTGTGAAGAACAAGTACAAATGAAAAACATGAAAACCAACTCAACCTCACCGGCTGCAGCTACACGCACAAAATCAGTTCAGAGTTATACGATTGTTTAATTGAAACGTAAATCGCAAAATCATCTCAATTCCTTCTGACCCTGGTCCCTCTGATTACTTTCATCAGAAGTTGTGGTTTGCATTCTTAAAAGGTACAGTAATCAGATTTGGTGTGCACGCAAAAAAAGGCAACTGTGTCTGGAGGAAGAGAAGGAGAAGAGGAACAAAAGGAGGAAGAGGAAGAGGAGGAAACGGGGAGCGGTCTGAGCTGCGATGCTCATGAATATGTTTGATAAGATATCGACACGACAGGGCGTTAAGTTTGAAAACATGTTTGTGGGAGCTTGAGGTTTTACACACCTCACTACAAATCTATTAAAAAAAGTGTGGTGAAAGTACAACTGTTTTGTTCAATAATCCTCCCAGAAAAGTGAGGAAACATTTTTTACCTCAAACTTGAGCAGCCCTAAATTGTAAACGTGTCCTGTACAAACGCAGATACTCACTGCGATGGCGGCCCAGTGGCGCAGGCGGCACGCGGCGTAGGCCAGGATCAGAGCGCCGAACCTGAACACGGCCAGGAGCTGCACAGAGACACAACCAGGATCATCAGACCAGGACGAGACCAAGGAGTTTGGATCAGAGTCCTGCACGGGTCCGTTTTTGGAGACCCGCGCCCGCACATTAACCCATGATTATATCAAAGTTAAATCCGCCCTCGTCCGGACTTTCCACCCGTTACCCGCCTGTGCCCGTGATAAATCGGGGTCAACCCACTAGTCCGACAGCCCAGTACTCCAAAACACTAAACCAGGACTAAACCAGGACTAAACCAGGACTAAACCAGGACTAAACCAGGACTAAACCAGGACTGAACCAGGACTGAAACCAGGACTGAACCAGGACTGAACCAGGACTAAACCAGGTCTAAACCAGGACTAAACCAGGTCTAAACCTATGCTGTGTCATTATTGGATTATAAATATATACATGCCACAACCACAGCGCCCATCACCAGAACTGAACCAGGACTGAACCCAATCTAAACCAGGTCTAAACCAGGACTGAACCAGGACTAAACCAGGACTCAACCAGGTCTCAACCAGGACTGAACAGGACTGAACCAGGACTGAACCAGGACTGAACCAGGACTGAACCAGGACTGAACCAGGACTGAACCCAATCTAAACCAGGACTCAACCAGGACTCAACCAGGACTCAACCAGGACTCAACCAGGTCTCAACCAGGTCTCAACCAGGACTGAACCAGGACTGAACCAGGACTGAACCAGGACTGAACCAGGTCTCAACCAGGTCTCAACCAGGTCTCAACCAGGTCTCAACCAGGACTGAACCAGGTCTAAACCAGGTCTGAACCAGGTCTGAACCAGGACTGAACCAGGACTAAACTAGGTCTCAACCAGGACTGAACCAGGACTGAACCAGGACTAAACCAGGACTAAACCAGGACTAAACCAGGACTAAACCTATGCTGTGTCATTATTGGATTATAAATATATACACGCCACAACCACAGAGCTGATTGCCAGGACTGAACCAGGACTAAACCCAATCTAAACCAGGTCTCAACCAGGTCTCAACCAGGACTGAACCAGGACTGAACCAGGACTGAACCAGGACTGAACCAGGTCTGAACCAGGTCTGAACCAGGTCTGAACCAGGTCTGAACCAGGTCTGAACCAGGTCTGAACCAGGACTGAACCAGGTCTGAACCAGGACTGAACCAGGTCTGAACCAGGACTGAACCAGGACTGAACCAGGACTGAACCAGGACTGAACCAGGACTGAACCAGGTCTGAACCAGGTCTGAACTAGGTCTGAATCATCATAAAGTCATTTGAACAAAACACCTCTGTGGTCTCAGAGTTGTGAAAAGTGCCAATAAAATAGTAGGTCCTTTCAAACTGCTTGTAAGAAAAGAAAAATCAGGTACAGGCCTTTAACTTTTGTGCCCCACCAACATGATACTTGGCACAATAAACCCAGATGAGCGACGTTTGGTACAGAATTTGCTTTATCCGAGTGTTTTTGAGTGTATCTGTTGAGTTTATACGTGTATTTTCAGACTCGGTTCAGTCCAGATTTCGTATCGTTAGGACCTGGTGGTACTTGGACATCCCAGTGTTACATTTAGACATTTTTTTTACACCAAATAAAACAAAGCGACTCACAAATATGTCGAAGAAGGAGTGGTGGAAGTCGTAGTTCAGCACCTCCTCCGTGAGCTGCTGCAGGAGGCCCCCGCTGCCCTGGAACACACTCAGAGTCAAGAACCGTCTCAAAATAAAAGCTTTTTTTGGTCTACTAACTTTTACACATGTTTATTCTGTTTTCTCTAATTGTGAAACTGGAACTAACGACATTAAACCTCTTGTGAGCTTGTGGGTGAAACTGGTTCTTCTGAGGTTGCTCTCGCTTCTTCCAGCGTCCTGCAGGAGTTTGGTGAAAGTTTTTTTTTTTTTTTTTCCTTGCTGACTTTATTTTCCTCACACAGAGCACAGCTGGACCTCTCTGCGGTGAGGGTTAGGCTTTAGTTCACTCGAGGACAATAGATTTTATATTCAAATTTAACCAGGTGATATGAGAGCAGCTCGAGGGTACGGAGCTCCTCCCTCCAAGCCTCCAGCAGAGAACTTTTGGTCTGAACTGTGACACGTTACCACATTTAAATGATGCAAAACAACCTCTCCGTCAAAACTGAACAGTGTTGGGGCGTTTTTTTGGGAGGGTAACTTTTCTTGAAGATTTCAGATCTTAAGGCTGTGTTTAAGAGACACCCAATACTTGGTCGTTGTACATTACAACTGCACCTCACCGGAGCACTTTAAATCCTCACTCAAAATGCACTTTTTCTCCTTGACATTTGCCCCAAGTTAGGAAGAGACACCTTGTTGTTGTTATTATTATTATTTTTATTATTATTATTTTATATTTTTTTATCATTTTATTTTTATTATTTTTATTATTTTTTTTATTATTATTATTATTTAATTATTTTTATTATTATTATTTTTATTATTATTATTATTTTTATTATTTTATTATTTTTATTATTATTATGGTTAATTTACCTATTGTATATTTTATTTCACTGTTCAGCACTTTAGGAGCTTTAGTTTTAAAAGTGCTATACGAATAAATTTGATTTGATTTTGATTTAATACTATTATTTGCCGCTTCAGAGGGTCCACTTTAGATAAGTTAACGAAACTATGTTAAAAGTGAAAAAATTTACAGCACATTCAGATGAACAATGTCCAAAATATATATTTTATTTTTAAGCAAAGTTTCGGCAAAAAAAAAAGATCTGACCAAGGCCCGAAATGTTATTCAAAAATTAAAAAATGGTTTTTTGGACACTGGCCATCTGAGTGTGCTGTACATTTTTTCACTTTTATTTTACTGTTATTGCATTTGCACACCAAGTTCTTGTAGAGGTGCGTTTTCTGTTTCATTTGAAATAAACTATGTTGTCCAGAGTTGGGAAAGTAATGCGTTGATTTTTGCTGTAACGCAGTAATGTAATAGCCTGATTCATCAGCCGGTTTTACTTCGTTTCACTTCGTGCAAACCGTGTGACCTCGCAGCCTTAGTTTTCGTTCGCTTGACGGTAGGTGGGTACTTTTTTATTTTACCAATTGCTTCCATTTCGTTGTGATGTATGTAATGCACCGCTGATGGGGCTAACTGGTTTATTAAGCTTTTCCCAAATCCCACAGGAAGAAGGGCAAAACACATCACTCTTCGCTGATTGGCTGGTGCCCGAACTCACACTTTTTTGGGTTTTGAGGTTTTGGGTTTTCTAGTGTATTCCGATTCCTGACCTACTTGCTGGAGAGAAATGAAATTGACTGGAAGGACTACGCTAGTAATGTAAGGCATAACAGGAAAAAAAAAAAAGGTAATATTTTACTCGGTACAAATGTCAGTAACATGTTACAGTGCATTTTTAACCTGGATTGAAGTGGTGTCTATTTTTTGTTTTTCTTTAATAAATTTGCTAAAATCATTACATCATCTTCCACTCAGGGTTCCCACAGTCATGGAAATCCTGGAAAAGTCATGGAGTTTTATCATCTCTTTCATGCAACTCCAGCGTTCTGTTAAGTTCACATGAGGCTATTATGATTATTTCTGAACATCTGCGCCTTTTGTTTAAAAGACGACAAAAAATGCACTGACAGGATGAATGTCTAAAAACTATAATCCCAAACCATAAGGTGAGTGGAAAAGGTTAACATTTCATATTTCACCCTAAAAGTCTGGTCAATTCTACACATGTAGGTGCTGAAAAGTCATGGAAAATTCACTTTAGGTCATGAAAAAGTCTTGGAAAAGTTTTGAAATGTTGTCAGTGAAAGAGGGAACCCTGTCCACTAAGGCCGGGCGTACACTGTGCGATTTTTGACCCTTTTTGAGCCGATTTTTCGCTCGTGCGACTGTTTTGGGGATCGGGCCGAGTTTTGGCTTCATCGTGTGTCGTGCTTCGTGTAGTTTACATGGGGTAAAGAGAACCGATTAATGACTCACGACCAGCTCCCGATCGACATTCGTAGGCCGCAAGAAAATCAAACTTGTTTGAAATCCAGTCGCCTCTCGTGAGGATTTCGCTCTGTTGAAGTTGTTCCACGAGCCGATTTGCCAGAATCTGGCAGACTGAAGTGGCTCAGCATTGTGTCTCCGCACATCTGTGGTTTTCTAATTCCGTGGTTTTCTTCTTCGTGGTTTTCTACTTCCGGAACAACAACTTTGACAACTCCGGTCGTTATGTGAACGTACAGTGTGAGCAGGCAAGTCGCATCCGAGCATCGGTTCGTTCAGTGTGAGAACATGATTCGTGAGCTGTGAACTTTTAAACCCTGTGATTTGGTCGTACAGTTTAAGCTGGGGCTGAGTGACACGACCGAAAATATCGCACAGTGTACGCCCGGCATTAGTATGTGTGTGTGTGTGTGTTTGGTCATTCTCTGTCCGTCTGGAGTTTTATTCTAACTCTCTGATCACAGTTTCGTCGTCTCGGGTCCCTCCCCGCTCTCACATTGAGCTCGATGATCCAGAGCAGAGAGATGAAGAGCAGGTCGAAGGTGACGAAGAGGCAGAAGGTCCTCCTGACGTCCGAGATGCCCTTCTTGGGTTTGAACAGGTCGCTGCACACGGACACGGGCGCTCCGCTGTTGATGCACACGGGCAGGTCGCCGCGGGAAGCCACGCTGCTGCTGCACACGCTCTCCATGTCCCGCACTGGAGCTTTAACCGCGCTGCTGAGCTGGAGCGGTCATGAGGGCACCAGGGAGGTCCTCAGTCCATCGGAAACACCTGAAAACAGAAACGTAAATAAAACCGTGAAGCCAGGGCTGGACCATAAACAAAACACTGAGATCACAATTTTCTTGGCGCCACATCACAATTTCGATTTTATCACGATTCGCGTTAGACTTATATCGTCTTGAAGAAGTATCTAAAACCATTTGCTTCTTTTCAAAGTTCACACACTGGTTCATTTTCTGATGTGTTATAATGTTGTTTCCTCCTTAAAAAACAGACCTGGAGTTGTTTTTGTTCCATTCACACTTGTTTAAATGTTGCACAGAGGATTTTTTGTGTTTAAAATCGTCAATAAAAGTTCAAAATACCATTATAAAGACGTAAACAAAGAATGAAAATCGATCAACTGTGGAGCTGTTTACCAAGGTGATTATTTGAGATTCCTTCCTTTCACGTATGTGCAACTTCTGAAAAAGGACAAACAGTCACAGTATTTCTCTGTCCTTGAAAAATCCTCTGTCTCCGTGTTCTCCGACCTTTTTTGCTCCACACACCGGTTTTATGTCTGACAATATTTTGCGTCCGGGCGTTTGCAGCGGCTCTTAGGGACGATGTTTTCACCAACCAGCGGCGTACAGAAGGAGACGCAGTGTGGGCAGAATGAGGGAGGAGACGCGATGGACCTGGGTTTAAGACCTGGGTTTAAGACCTGGGTTTAAGACCTGGTTTAGGGCCTGAGTTTAGGCCTTGGTTTAGGCCTGGGTCTAGGGCCTGGGTCTAGGGCCTGGGTCTAGGGCCTGGGTCTAGGGCCTGGGTCTAGGGCCTGGGTTTAGGCCTGGGTTTAAGACCTGGGTTTAAGACCTGGGTTTAAGACCTGGGTTTAAGACCTGGTTTAGGGCCTGAGTTTAGGCCTGAGTTTAGGCCTGAGTTTAGGCCTGAGTTTAGGCCTGGGTTTAGGCCTGGGTTTAGGCCTGGGTTTAAGACCTGGGTTTAAGACCTGGTTTAGGCCCGAGTTTAGGCCCTGAGTTTAGGCTGAGTTTAGGCCATGAGTTTAGGCCATGAGTTTAGGCATGAGTTTAGGCCTGAGTTTAGGCCTGGGTTTAGGCCTGAGTTTAGGCCTGAGTTTAGGCCTGGGTTTAAGGCCTGGGTTTAAGGCCTAGGTTTAAGTCCTAGGTTTAAGTCCTAGGTTTAGTCCTAGGTTTAGTCCTAGGTTTAGTCCTTGGTTCAGTCCTTGGTTCAGACCTTGGTTCAGACCTTGGTTTAGACCTTGGTTTAGACCTTGGTTTAGACCTTGGTTTACTCCTGGGTAAATCCTGTTTTAATACTGGTTTTAATACTGGTTTTAGTCCTGGTTCGCACTTTCCCGGCCCGGTACAAAATCTATTTAATCTGAGTTCTTCTCTCCAAGGCGACTCTCAAACTCCACTCCGTTCCACCTTGTGATGTCACGTGGTAAGGACGAGACGCGCGCCAGTGTGTTTATAAACTCCACACACCTTCACCAGAATCACTTGGACGATCTCAGCCTCAGAATTGCCGATCTCCACTGTGAACAAAAGGTAAAAGGAGCAGTTCACTTGAAAAGCACCGCGTCATGACATCACAAGGTGGACCAGAGCATTTTGAGCTTTGGAGATGTAGACAGACTAAAAACACAGAGTTACTCAAACACGTGTGAATGAAACAAAACACAACTTCAGGTGCGTGTTTTAGTAACAGCATAATACCGTTTAAAGCTCACAAGAGTAAATTTCATGTAACGTAGGAGCTTTAAATCCAAACGTGACTCGCTCGGTGCATTTCTGAGGCTCACCAGGAGGAGGAGGAGGAGGAGTGGGTGGAAGCGCAGACGAGGGCATATTTGTGAATCAAAATAGCAGATCGTTAGAGGAATGAGATCACGGTTCAGTTTGTATCACCAGATTGTCCAGGCCTAATGCGCGATCATTTATACGGCTCAGATAACCAAAGTGCTGACGCGGCATTATTCAGTCCCGCCCTGCACGAGAGAGAAGCCGGATCTGGAGCTAGATAACTGACCCGTGCTTATCTATAATTATGCAACCTCCACCGGTCTCTCGCATAAGATTGTCACCTTTAATGTTCAACAGTTTTTGGGGGTCAAGATTTATCATGTGGACGTTTTCTTGGGTTATATTTCTATTTTAGATTTGGACTTGGACTGACTTTATTCATCCACAAGAGAAATTATTTGGACACAGTAGCTCACGTCCATCTACTCCCAGACTTCCTTAATCCCGGACACACACATATGAACATCGATGTGTTTTGGACTGTGTATACCAAAATAATTAAGTACCGTATTTTCCGGGCTATTAGTCGCTCTGGATTATAAGACGCACTGTCATTAAATGGTCTATTTTCAAACTTTTTTCACAAATAAACCGTGTGGGACTTTAAAGGAAACCACAACAGTGTGATGGGTGAGTGGTTTTGTTTGTTTGTTCGTTCACGGTGACTCTGGGCTTTGTTCAGTTGTGGCGTGTAGGGAGGTGCTGTCTGGGACCAACGGATTGTCGGCGTGTTCGCGGTGACTCAGTTGTTCAGTCGTGTCTAGAAGCGGCACGTTGCGCTCGCTTTTTCAGGTTCGTTCCTCCGTTCCGTTCCTCGTCGGCGTGGAGTGACGAGTGTGTCTGCGGGTGTTTTTCGCTGTGCAGTCGCCGTCTGCTCCGTGTGTGTTTACGTGCGCTGCGGGTGGTGTTGGGAAGGTGACTTTTAAAATGTATTCCCCTACAGATTACAGGTTACATACTTCAAAATGTAGTTTGTAACGTAATCCATTAAATTACTTAAAGTGAGTAACTTAATCTGAATACTTTGGATTACTTGATTTGCTGTAGAGAAGCAAAGACGAGGAAATCGTGACATAAGATGTTTTGTCTGATAAAAGAAAATAAAAAGCCCAGACTTTACTGAACCGTATTAAAAATATAATTGATAGAATACGGTCCACGCAGCATGGTTTAGTCCGGGTTTAGTCCGGGTTTAGTCCGGGTTTAGTCCGGGTTTAGTCCGGGTTTGGTCCGGGTTTGGTCCGGGTTTAGGTTTAGACCGGGTTTTGGTCCTGGGTTTAGTCCTGGGTTTAGTCCTGGGTTTAGTCCTGACCTGGTTTAGTCCTGACCTGGTTTTAGACCTGGTTTTAGACCTGGTTTTAGACCTGGTTTTAGTTTTAGACCTGGTTTTAGACCTGGTTTTAGACCTGGTTTAGACCTGGTTTTAGACCTGGTTTTAGACCTGGTTTTAGACCTGGTTTTAGACCTGGTTTTAGACCTGGTTTTAGACCTGGTTTTAGACCTGGTTTTAGACCTGGTTTAGACCTGGTTTAGACCAAAATGTGAAAACAGGAAAATACCACCATGTAATTCATTTATTTCAACAAAGTAACTGTAATCTAATTACCACTCACTGAAACAGTAACTGTAACTTAATACAGTTACTCATAATTTGTACTCTGATTACATAACTCTGGTACATGTAATCTGTTACTCCCCAACACTGGCTGCAGGTGTTGCGGCTTTGTAGTTTACTGAAGTCGTGCTGGGACACCCGAGTGGATTCTCTGGATTGTGGTGCGCAGTCGTTAAAAGACAAGTTTTGTGTTTTTCGCTGTAAATAGTTCTACTGTCTTGTATCCTGTTCTATATGTTAATAGGGTTTTGGCAAAATAAGTGTTAAAACTTCATCTTAAACCCCTTCGGTCTGTAGAATAACTTCAGTGAAATGTATAAAATGCATCATTTTTTGTGTTAAATCATTGTAATATGATATATGATTATGTTCACTGACCGAAGAAAATTAACTAACATATTTTTAAAAGTACACTTAAAATGTCACCAACTACAGTTCAGAATAAAAATAATTCAAACCTCTTTTGTCAGAGTTAAAAAATTCAAAGCGGCGGGATTTCTTCATAGGAGAGGCACTGGTAAAAGTTGTCGTGTTTGTTAGAATCTCAACTATGTGTAACTATGGAGAAGGAATAAACAGCATCTGCATTTACATGAAAAGGCAGATGAACCTGTCCAGTCACTCCACAAAACTCACTCCACCCATCTCCAGCGCCGCGTTTTCTCATGTTGGACTTAAAATCCTAATAAGAAACAGAAATCTTTATAACCTCAATAAACTAATAAAAACTGTCTGACGAGGGCACAAGTCTGAACTGCAGATCAGAGGTGGGACCAGTCGTTGTTTTGCAAGTCTCAAGTAAGTCTTTGACCTCAAGTCCGAGTCAAGTCCCAAGTCGAGTCTCGAGTCACTGGCCCATAAGTCCAAGTCAAGAGCTTCAAGTCATTTCAAGTCTTTAAACCAAAGCACCAAATACATCTTAGATTTTTGCAATTTATATGAATTTTAAACTAAACTGTACTTAAAAGTCACGGTATATTTATCTGAGAATTTATGTAATAGTTTTAGAAATCCACATTTTTCCTTTTTAAATGTTTTGACAAAATCTTAGTGTGAATTATTACGGTCAGAACAGAAATAATTCAGATAAAAAGTTCTAAATAACAGTTATTTTGTCGTGTCGTCTGCACTGAAATGGAAGGAACATGGACATGTTCTATGTCCAGTGTTGGGGAGTAACAGATTACATGTACCAGAGTTATGTAATAAGAGTACAAATTATGAGTAACTGTATTCAGTTACAGTTACTGTTTTAATGAGTAGTAATTGGATTACAGTTACTTTGTTGAAATAAATGGATTACACGGCGGGATTTTTCTGTTTTCACATTTCGGCTATATCCCTTTGTTTTTTTTCCGGTAATTCCACTCATTGCCGGACACTAAACCAGGTCTAAACCACGTCTAAACCAGGTCTAAACCAGGTCTAAACCAGGTCTAAACCAGGTCTAAAACCAGGTCTAAAACCAGGTCTAAACCAAGTCTAAACCCAGGACTAAAACCAGGACTAAAACCAGGACTAAAACCAGGTCTAAAACCAGGTCTAAAATAGGATTTATCAAGACTAAATCCTGCTGCGTGGACGTGTCTCTTCTTCTTCTATCAGTAATATTTTTAATTTGGTTAAGTAAAGACTCGGCCTTTTTATTTTCTTTTATCAGACAAAACATTTTATGTGAAGATTTCCTCGTCTTTGCTTCTCTACAGCAAATCAAGTAATCCAAAGTATTCAGATTATGTTCCTCACTTTAAGTAATTTAATGGATTATGTTACAAACTACATTTTGGTGTTTGTAATCTGTAATCTGTAGGGGAAAACATTTTAAAAGTCACCTTCCCAACACTGTGTATGTCAAAGGCCACATATGTAAACACAGACGAAGCAGAGGTCTGACCGAGGCCAGTGAATAATTTAAATATGTGCATGTTTAAACACGTTAGAATGAGACATGATAAAAAGTTTTTAATTGATGCAGTTAATGAATTTGGGCCAATTCACCTGGAAGCCTGAGAGCCAAGAAAAATTTGTCTGAGGGCCATATTTGGTCCACGGGCCGTAGTTCGGACATGCCTGTTCTATACAGATCCTTCTGTTTTACTGTATTGTACTGAATATTACTCTGTTTTTCTGTATATTACTGTAGTACTTTTGAGGATACTACATCACAATACTTCAGTTCCATCCAAAGTACCAAATAGAGAAGTGAGAGGGACATGTTCCAGTTTGTTCCTGTTAAATTAAACGTGACATTTATCAACTGTAAAGAGAAAAGTATCTTCTAAAAACATATATTTTTAGGAGAAGCATCAAGTCTTCTCAAGTCCGAAATTCAGATTATGGAACAAATAACATTTTCTTTAAGACACTCAGACAAAGGAGAACTATATTGGAAAAAGTGGAAATCTTACAATCAAAACAAAACTTAATGTAAAAATGTTGTATATATCTTTGCAGATGTCACTAGCTTGATGGCCTCATATTTTATTTCTATTTATTTTTAATTACCTCCACCAAGGAGGTTATGTTTTTGCCGGCGTTTGTCTGTTTGTTTGTTTGTTTGTTTGTCTGTTAGCAACATAACTCAAAAAGTTATGGACCGATTTTGATTGGATTTGTTGGAAATGTGAAAAGGAAGAACTGATTTCATTTTGGGGGTGATCCGGAAGAAATCCTGGATTCTGGATCACTTTGAAATTTTAGTTAACATTGTGGTAAATGGGGCCAAAAATTTTGTTTCTCAATATCTCGGTTAATTATTGACCAAACCCCATGAAATTTGACTCAGGGATGGACAATGGGATCCTCTTTCATATTCCAAAGGCTGATCCGGATCTGATCCAGAAGACTGATTTTATTGCAATTTATATAAAAAATGGGGGTAGTCCTTGGCGGAGGTCTGCGCTCTCTGAGTGCTTTTCTAGTTTTTACTTTTTTAGTTGGTCTTTTGATTTATTTAGTTTCACAATACTAATAATTTGTGTATGTAAATATGTGATATGTGATATACATAAATAAAATGTTCTAATAAAAACAAAGTTTCAAAACTAGAAAAGCACTCAGAGAGCGCAGACCTCCGCCAAGGACTACAGTCCCCCTCATATTAATTGTGTTTTCAATAAATATTTGTCTCGTATCTTTCAATTTGGAATATGAAAGAGGATCCCATTGTCCATCCCTGAGTCAAATTTCATGGGGTTTGGTCAATAATTAACCGAGATATTGAGAAACAAAATTTTTGGCCCCATTTACCACAATGTTAACTACAATTTCAAAGTGATCCAGAATCCAGGATTTCTTCTGGATCACCCCCAAAATTAAATCAGTTCTTCCTTTTCACATTTCCAACAAATCCTGAAAATTTCATCAAAATCGGTCCATAACTTTTTGAGTTATGTTGCTAACAGACAAACAAACAAACAAACAAACAAACAGACAAACAAACAAACAAACAAACAAACAGACAAACGCCGGCAAAAACATAACCTCCTTGGCGGAGGTAAAAAAAAAAAAAGTCTTCTCAAGTCACAGGCCTCAAGTCTGAGTCAAGTCCCAAGTCTTAGTCCATTTCATCAAGTCAAGTCTCAAGTCCTCTGCTGCAGATTCTTGGTCAGATGACACCAGGAGGATCTGTAAATTCTTGTAAAATTTTGATTAGTTTCAAAGGTTATAGTTCTTAAAAAGCCCAAACTGCACAATGTTATAAATTATAATGTTGTTTCCTCATCACAAACAGACCTGGAGTTGTGTTTCGATTTGTTCACACGTGTTTAAACGCACAAACACCTGCAGATTTAGGCAGAAAACACTCCACCTTGTTTCACCTGTTCCACTTTGTGATGTCATGTGTTAATACAAAAAGTGCGCCGCCGTGTTTTTAAACTCCACGCACCTTCACTAGAATCATTCGGATGATTTCAGACCTGGAGCGGCCAATCTCTACCAACTAAAAGATTAAAAAAGTACATGCCAACTTGATAAGCACCACTTCACAACATCACAAGGTGGAAGAGAACGTTTTAAGATTTAAAGTAGGGTGACCAGATTTTCAAAAAAAAAACAAAAACTGATGACATAAATAAGAATAAAACAGTGAAATGAGTGCGTAATTAAAGGAAAATGAGCACTCTGCCCATTCACGACGAACATGTGAGTCAGTATAGTCACATTTTCTTTGTGTTTTAGTCGTTTTTATGCAGCTTTTCTGTATTTTACCTACACAAACAACAATTTGTGGCTCTCTTTGCTGTCAAATTGGTCAAAAATAGGAACAACTTGGGCAATTCTTGTGTAAAACTGGGACAAATCACTGTTTTTTTTAACCAATCCTTACATGCGGTTAAATACTGCAGTGAGCTTTAATATTAAAAGAGTCGCTACACTCAAAATTGGTATTCTAAATTTGTATCCTCACTTGTATTTAGTAATTTCCCATCACGGATAACAACGTGTTAATAAATAGTTTTATGTTTTTTTAATGTTCTACCACATGAGGGACATTAGTAGTCGTAGTTGTAGTTTGTTTGTGGCCACATCAAGTTCCTGTGCCCTGTTTTGACGCTCCACCGAAAGGAAAATAACACCAAAACCTGCGTAAATCGGATCAAATTGTTCAAAAATGGGGACAATTGGGATATTTCTTGTGTAAATCTGGGACAAATCACTGGTTTTGGATAAATCTGCTGGAACAGGGGACACAGGGCTCAAAATTGGGACTGTCCCGAGTAAATACACTATTTTATACATAAACAGGGTTAGTCAAATATGTGTGAATGAAACAAAACACAAAACCCCAAAGCTCACACCCAATCACTCTTTACATATTTTTCTTTACACAGGACCTGACGCTCAGTAAAACGATCATGTGAGGGTGTTTTTTTGATCTGAGTCTCCATTTTTCGCGTAAATAAAGCTTCCCAAATCCACAACCTGTCCAGAGAATGACACACAGCAGGCCCAGACTCCTCACTGCCGCTGGAGAGAGGAGCAGGTGGAACGAAACGCGCAGTGGTAGCCTCATTTGCCCTCCTCTGATGCGCTTTTATTCCGCAAACCATCCAATAAAACGAGCAAAACACGACATGAATCCAGGGTAGGCGCGTTATTCCAGCTGTTCCTAACAACAGGACGAGGGTTTGCTCCGGGATATCTACAGAGGGAAACGAAACTAAAACATACAAGCCTCCAGAGCTCGGGGTTTGTGCGCTGCGCTCTCCGGCGGTGCGCACGGGTTTGGAGAGGTCAAACGCGGCCGCAGTCTTACCTCAGCGCGCCTCTGGTCACCCGGGGGAGGGTTCTGAAGTGGCCTGGTTCGGCTCGGGTCAGGACCAGTATGATTTGTCAGCCCGGAAGTGAGATTTCCTCTTTTTATGTTTACGAGCAGTGCGCGCGCCGGGTCTGTGTAACACCGCCTCCTGTTGGCGCTAAAACGCACGATGTCCAGCCACAAGAGGGCGCACTTTCATCAAAAACCACGAAAGGATTTAGTAAATGTTCACTCAGCAACTGTAGGCATGCGTTTGTTTTTATAATAGATCATTTTTGTCAAGATTCAACATTTCCAAGAGAATAAAAAATAAGAATAAAACTGTGAAACGAGTGCGTAATTAAGGAGAAAGCCTCCTGTTGGCACTAAACGTGTCCTCTTCAGCCACCAGAGGGCGCACTTCCATCAATAACCAAAAATAGGATTTATTAAATGTTCACTCACCAGCTGCAGATCTACATTTGTTTTTATAATAGACCTGTTTTTTAACAATTCAACAATTCCATGCCTGTAAGAATCAGTTCTTTACATTGTTTTGTAACTTTGTTTTTATTTTGGAGTAACAGGTTCTTATTTAAAACCTCCTGAGACTCGGTCCATTCATTTGTGTCCTTTGTAGTGGACATTTAAGTTAACCAGTCGATCTTTTAAGTGTTTTGAGATAAACTCTTAATGGGGGGATGAGGTTTCTCTGCCTAAATAGGGTCTGGGGATTATAGGGCAGTATCATGTCCTGGATAAAAAAAATATAATAATAATAATAATAATGATAATAATAATAAAAACTCAATAGATGTTAGTTTGTAGCTCCACTGTAAAAAATATACTACTACTAATAATAATAATAATACTAATAATGAAATTTAAAGGGAGTCTAAAAACTTTCTGAGGCAACCATAGAAGCTTGTCAGAAATGTTGGTCATCAAAAAAAGTTGTTTTTGTTCGGTTGTCAACTTCACATGGATTTAACACCAAAATGTCCCCAGCGTCCATTACAGAGGATATGTTATAAAGTTATAAATACAAATAAAATGAACAAAATCTAAATGCTAAGGTGTTCATTTACCTCCAAATAGAGAGAAGAAAAAAAATATATATATTTTTTTTTTATTGAAGTGATATCACTCAGAGTATTTGAGTAATAGTTCTGGTTTCTCTTCCCACTGTGAGTAAAAGTACAATTGACAAGTTGAAAGTATAAAATGATCTGAGCGTGTTTCTTACAGCACTGTTTCAAATCTGATTTTTGTGTCTGACATTTAAAAACACCACATGTTGTGATTTATTAGAGGAGAACAGAGACAAAAAGGCAAAAATTGAAATGCACTTTTAGTTTTATTAGACAAAGTTTATTTAATTTCAAAATTCAGAGAGGAATGAGTTAAAGTTAAACCTACAAGTTGCATTCGAGCGCATTGACGTCAGTGCTGGGAGCAATAGTTACAGAATTTGTATCTTGTATGCATTTATATACTGTATATGCATTTTTCTCACTTATACTGAACAGAACAAAGCCAAACATGTGGTTAAATACTGCAGTGTGCTTTAATATTAGAAGAGTAACTGTACTGTATTACTTCCCATCACTGAAAACACCTCAACTAGTTTCATGTTATTTAATATTCCACCACATGAGGCACATTAGCAGTAGTAGTTATAGTTTGTTACTGTGACCCATTTTGAAGCTCCACCAAAACCTGCATAAATCAGCCTACTACTCTGAGGAGAAGTGCGACCGAGTTGTGAAACTGTCGACTATGAAAACTTCCAACTTCGGTCTGAGAAAGGCCGTACAACCGTTTCTGATTCTGATGAAGTTACACAATAGTAGTGAGCAGTAACTGTTCGGTACTACAAATATCAGAGTACGGACACTGGTCAAGTTTGGACGCACCTCCTCATTCAATGTTTTTTTTTTTTTGTGTTTATATTTTATACGAAAGACGGAAAATACATGATGCTTTGTCAGTAGGTATTGGTAGTGTTGTAGTCAAGACCGCACTAATCGAGACCAAGACCAGTCCGAGACCAGGACAAGACCAAGGCACATAAAGACCAAATCGAGAGTCTTTGATATTTGTGCCAATAAAACTGTAAAAGACAAATATATGTAGGAAATTACAATGTTTTCATAAATCCGCTTCCATTTTATGTGATTAATGTTTATTTAGACCTAAAATAAGCCAAGCAAACGGTTTTTTGGACCCTCACCCACAGTTGGAGAACCTCTTCTTTAATCCAAATTTACAGAAAACAACTCCAGACCGAGTCAAAATGTGCTGGAGTGTGAGACAAGACAAAGACTAAAAAAGTGAGGCCAGTCTCGAGTACTACGATACTAGTTACTGGTGTAGAATATCGGCACTGATCCAAGAAAATTGGATTGGTATCGGTAACATGATATTGGTTAAGCCGATTATTCTGGTTGGGTGTTTATTTGGACGAAATGAGACTATTTAGTCACTGATGTAGGTCAAGGACACCTCAGTGTTTGAACTTTAATTCACACAAAGCTGTCATATAACACAATTTAAATCAAACTACAGATAAACCATCGTCGACAGAGCTGCAAAACCTTTGTCTTCTCTCAGTTTCATTCATAGTTTTGATACCTTAAGTGAGAATCTACACTGTAAATAATCATGAAAATAAAAAACAGAAATGAAAAGGTGCGTCCAAACTTTTGACAGAACATTCCCCAGAGTCATTTGGTGTTTTGTTATAATCATGTTTTCATCTGCAGCTTAGAACTCGATTTACTTTTGTTTTTTTAACGGTCTTCATTCCTCGGTCAGCAGTGGGCGTGACTGAGGGGGCGGGGCCGGGCCGACGCGCAGGTGGAAGGCGGCGTGAACACCTGGGGGTCGCTGATGCCGAGGCGCAGGTCGAAGAAGCGCGTGGAGGTGGTGACGCTGGCGTTCTTGGTGTAGGTCTCCTGCACGGGGTAACAGTCCTTCACCGTGTACACGCCCACCCACGTCTCATCTGGAGAGGGACAGAGCGCAAACGTGATCAAAACTGTCAAAGTAAACATCAAATACAGCTTTTACTGATGACAATTGTAATACTGATTTATTGGCAAAATCTGTTATAATTCTGTGTTTTGGTTCCAGACAAATTCTCCATCAGAAACCAGAATGAGCCTCACAGGAGTCTTTCATTTGGGACGCCAGTTTCAGTGCTGAAGCTCCAGTTGGTTTAAGCCTAAAATTACTCAATCAGGATCAGCCTCTGCAGCTCAGTGAGGGATTTCTAGAGGTTCTAAGCTTCACATAAGACCTGTCCATAAACTGAGAATGAGACAAACTTCGTGTCGTCTGTCTGCAGGTTAAAGCTCTGGGGACAAAGGTTCAGTTGTGATTGTAGAACCTTTTAAGACTGCAAGACTGCAGGCTACATACAGTTCCTTAAAAACTGCCCATTTAATCTCCTCAGTAGATCAGGAATGGAAAATATAACAAATATTACATCAGATGAGAGATTTCTGTAATATTGGTAAGAGAAAGATTCCCAGTTTGTCCTCAGGGCATCAGGTTTATCTTTTTATGACGTGTGTTCGTCTCCACAGAGATGTTTTTTTTTTATTATTTTGGCCATACTGGCTTGTCAAAGCCTGATCTCGTCAGATCTCAGAAGCTAAGCAAGGCCGGGCCTGAGTAGAACTGCAAGACAAAAAAAAAAGTAGGGATGGACATTCGATGAAATTTTTATTAAATCGATCGTCGGGAGAAACAGAAACCTACATTCGGTTTATTGATTAGAAATGAACGTCATCTGCAAAATTCTTAATGATCAATTATCGATTAGTTGACAATCATGCCCATCCCTAGTCCTTAGGCAAGACACTTCACCCACATCACCTAGTATGAAAGTGGTGTGAGTGTTGGTGGTGGTCAGGAGCCGATGGCGCAGATTGGCAGCCTCGCTTCTGTCAGTCTGCCCCAGGGCAGCAGGGCATCTTGAAAGATACTGTATAAATGCAATGATTAATAAAAAAAAAAAAAACAAAAAAAACTGTAAAGTGTAGCGCTATACTGTGGAACATAGGCAAAGTAGTAACATCTCATGGGACTCTACATTGTGTTCCTATAAAGAGACGAGTAAAGTGGGCGTAAGCAGTCGTGTGTGAACAGAAGAACAATGAGCATAAAACTCTCCTCAGAACTCCACATACTGATGCACAGATCTCAACTCACTGCATTTGCACCGATCCCAGATCCAGATCCAGTCCACTCTGTGTCCTCTGAGTCCTGGCAGCGTGCTACGTATACAATTAATCACCTGCACACTGCAAATTTCTCTGATCTGGCCAAGATTTTAAAACTTGTATCAGAATATTCATCTTGTTTTCAGATTTATTATCTACTTACAAGTTCTGTGACTTGAAGAGAACTTGTCAAGTAAAATGATCTTGCAACATGGACAAATCATTTCACTACTTTTAAGTCATTTTCTGATAGATTTAAGTGTTTATATCTTAAATTTTGCCCAATCTTTTGTGCAGTGTATTTAATTTACAAAATATGTCCCTCGTTTTGCATTTTCGAACATACTTCCAACCTGATGCTGAATAACATTTAGGTCAAGTGTAATAAGATTAAATGGTGAACCGATTTAAGATTTTTGAAACGCTGATACTGATCTGAATGAACAGAGCCGCTCCAGGGCAGTACTGGGGGGCAGGACTCACGCTGACGGGCAGGTTTGCGGTCGGACCACTCCTGCACCTCCACGTTGTCCCCAGGGCCCCCCACCGTGTACTGGTCCTCGAAAGTGGAGTTGTCCGGGACGTCGAAGGGGTCCCAGGGATCGCTGAGGGGGAGCTTGGCGCACTCTTTGGTTTTCTGGTCGATCTGGAACACCACGCCGCTCTGGTACAGGTAGATGAACTCGAAATACCTGCGCAAACATCGAAACGTGAACAACAACAATACCCGATTCAATTCTGCACTTGAGAATGTGGCCTTATGTCTGTGCGATGACTTTTATAACACAAAACCCACGTCACAATATTATCATTTCCTCAAAAAACAGACCTGGAGTTGTGTTTTGTTTCATTCTCACATGTTTAAGTTAATCCTTTTTCACGTTAACTGCTACAAATGACCTTTAGTTCAGTAGAAATTTCACAATTCCACGGCTTAAATGATCCAAATGATTCTAGTGAAGGTTTAAAAACACAGGGAGGCACTTCCTACATCAACCACATGACATCACAAAGTGGAACAGTGTTTTTCTTTTGAGAGAAGAACTCGGCTTAAAAATATGCACATGGGAATGAAACAAAAACACCACATTTCCAGGTTATTTAACGTTATAACTTAGATCAGAAAGTCCGAGTCAAGTCCCAAGTCAAAGACAGAAAAGTCCAAGTTGAGTCTCGAGTCACTGGCCCATAAGTCCAAGTCAAGTCCAAGTCGTCTGCTTTGAGCTTCAAGTCATTTCAAGTTTTTAAACCAAAGTCATTTCTATGGATTTCAAACTAAAATTGTATTGGGGGGGGATCATATTTATATAGGAGTATTTACATAAGAGTTGTTTTATTTTTATTGTTTATATTATTTTTCCTTTTTAAAACTACCATATTTTCGGCACTATAGGACGCACTTAAAAGCTTTAATTTTGTCAAAAAACATCCTGTGCGCCTTGTATATGAATTTATTGGTGTGTCTTAGTACGACTTTAGTAAACTACAAAGCCGCTCCACTTGCAGCATTACGGCTCCTGTAGTCAGGAGCATCAGGAGTAAAACAAACTGAACAACGTCCACTTTAAACTCAAGGCTGTTATAAAGTGAAAGTGTGAGCTGCGTGGGAGCAGTGGATGAGAGAAGGAGAACACACATTCACCAAGACAGGGAGACAGCGCCGAGAGATTTACACCATGATCTGCCAACGGATCACGGACGCCTGGGCTCAGGATCAGTATCAACTGTGGTCCGAGCTTTCACCAAGACCAGAATCGTCACTGAACTGCCAGAGAACAGTAACCACACTGACTCGGATAATGACGAGGGGGATGTGGGCGAGCTGGACGCTGTCATCGACCAACTGTTTGAACAATTATGAGTTATTGTGAATACACGAACAATTTAACATCTCAGACAGTATTTTTTTTTTACACATTACAATTGAACAAAGTTGAGTTATTGTGAACACTTTAAATAAAGTTTGACTGACTTATCCAACTGTTGTGTTTCGTTTAATGCGCCTTATAGTCCGGTGCAGTTTATATGTGAAAAAAGTTTGAAAATAGACCATTCAATGACAGTGCGCCTTATAATCCAGAGCGCCTATAATGCAGAAAATGCAGTAATTTGATCCATTTTCATCTTTCTTTCATTAATTATTGCTGATGTTAACTGTGTGACAAAAATGGGCCTTTGTCTCATTTTAAATTCACATTAGTTTATGTTAAACATTTTGATTTTGAAAGGGGACTTGCTTTGCTTTGGAAATGACCTGGAAAAGTCACCAGGGGGAGGTACTACCTGCTGGGTGGGGCCTAAAAGCAAAGCAGGTGTCTTCAATTAGGGAGAGATTTCTGTGCAGGTTAATTAGTGTTTTTGATTTAAGTTACTTTTGTTGGCGTAATAACCTAGAAGTCCGTTTTAAAATAAATGTCTGGTTCAAGACACTTTTTTTTTTTTGTTGTCGTCTTGTCTGCCTCCTACTTTGACCATGTTTACTTAAGTTTATTTTTTGTATTATTTTGTGTCTATGGCTCTTAATTTAAGAAGAGTGCAGGTGCTCTCTCATGGGAGTGAAGCCAAACAGGTTTTTGACCTCCTGTCACCTGTTAAAGTTCCCCTTTTTATATGTTTTGTATGTCCTCAATTACTAAAGAATTTTTAACTGCACTTGGATCGTTCTTTGTGGATTCTTTAACTTTTGTGGCATTTTAAAAAACTGGAACAAGGTGATCAATCTATGGCTTCACAAATATTTGGACCTTACAATAAATATTTAATTAGTTATTTTTGCAAAACTGAGCTTGAATTACCAAGTTTACATTGTTACGTGGCATCATTGCTCTGTTATTTTTAGAACATTGCCAATTCTGCGGTTTTTGGATCTTAAAATAGAGAAACATTGGCGTAATTTTACGGTTTCTGCTTTTTCTTTTGGCCTTTGTTGTTCTGCTTTTGTGTTTTTTTTGCCTAACTCTAACAATGGCTTTTCTAAATATAATATTTAGGAGCATTTAATTTAGCCAGAAGATTGAAAAGTTCCACTAAATTCGTGGAAAAACTGTGCGTAAAATGGTCTGAGTTCATATTGCGCAGTCATCAGTGTTTACGTTGGCCTGGACACAACAAGCTTAGGCAACAATAAACTTAACCTTGATTTTTATTTCATGCTTTGCTTCTGTTCTGTCTGATTAGGCTCATCTTGCAGTGCCACGTAGGAGTCTCAATAATCTATTTAGCGGTCCGGGGATGACACTTTGGATGAGACGCACGGTGCTCGTACCTCTGACAAGGCGTGTGCTTCTTGTGCTGCTGCAGGAGCCGGAGCCGCTGGTTGGGGGCATCGTAGGAGACCGCCACCCTGCTGTTTCTCCCGGTGCTGTGGTCGTACTGCACCCAGCGGCCCTCCCACTCCGTCGGGGCGAGGCAGGGCGAGGGCGCGGCGGCGGAGGCGGAGGAGGCCCGGTATTCCGAGCCTAGCGCCGCGGAGAGGACGAGGAGGAGGATCAGGGGTCTGGACATGGCGCAGTGTGCAGGCAGTGTGCAGGGGAGTATGAGTGCGGTCCCGTTAGAAAAGCACCTGCTGGCGGAAATAACGCTCAGTGAGTTCCGGTGATGCCTTCGTGCGTAAAACCATCTGTGGATCTGTGCGTAAAAGTTCCATGAATATTTTTGTATGAATGTAACAGTGGCGATTATGCTTTTCTTCCATGTATGCCTCCCCCTGGCATTCTGTTTGTTATGTTGTGTGTATGTTGTTATGTTATTTTCTGTATAACCATTTGTCATTTAATAAATATATTTTTGACATAAAAAAATAAAAAAATAAAAAATAAATCTGTGCGTAAAACCAAATTTCTTGGTTGTTTTTTATGAGTGTCACTCAAAAAGGCACCGACAAACACGGAATAATGGACGTTTTGTGAAGTTTTTTTTTGCTTTGTTAGTTTCTTTGAGTGGAAAAAGTACAGTTGCATTATTTATAAATTATAATTCAGATGAAAAGAAAATGCGTGAAACCAAAAGCTCACCATTCAAGTTATGCTGGAGCAAGTTTTATTTATTTTTATTGATCTGCTCATTTAGGCCTGTTCCTTTTTTTAACTTAAACGTTTCAGTGATTTGTAGGAGGATTAAAATCAATGCGTTTTTGTTTGTAAAAAAATAAAAAATAAAAAAAATAAATTTAAAAAATGGGGCTAAAGCATAAAAGGCCTTTTCTAATTAGACTGACCAAAATACATTATTCATAGCTTCAAAATGAGCATGTTTAAATTAGATGGAAAGCAAAATTAGATGTATAATATACATGTTTGCCACGAGGAGGCGGTGTTGCCTACCAGAGTTTATGCCGGAGTTGTAAACAAGCGGCGCACGATGATGACGCACGACTAGAGACGCGCTTTGGAAACGTGGGTTGTGTTCATGTGTTCCAAGTTGTAGGGATCAAGGAGATAAACGTCTGAAAATCGACATGGCTGAAGATAAAAGCAGCGCAGAGTTAAATTTATCACTGGAGGAGTCTGACGATGAAGCGCCGGAAGAAATGACCTTTGAATCGGCGCGTAATGAAGCTCTGAGCCGCGTGAAGAGCGCACTGGAGACGGCCAAAAGGTGAGCCACAGCACGGAGCCAAAAACTCACGGAGCCACGGTCCACGGAGCCACAGCTCACTGAGAACTCCAGCATGTGAGGGGTGGAGGAGTGTGGAATAATCAGGTCAAGTATCAGAGTCAGTGGTGGACAGAATAATCATCCAGAGCTTGACACCCTGAGCCAAATGCCACTAGTTTTACATTTTCAACATTCAGTCCAGTCAGCTCCTTTGCTCAGATGAATTTTCTCCATAATCCTTTTAAATTTGTAATACTGTGACTCATATTTTAATAATAATAACACTCCTCAGACTTGTCATTATTCATTCTGTCCATACTTGGTGGTGGTAAATGAGTTTGTAACCACAGCTGCCCTGGGACAGACTGACCGAAGCGAGGCTGCTTATCTACACCATCAGCCCCTCCAACCGACACCGATCATTCACGCACACACCACTTACATACTAGGCAAGGTTCTGGCCAGCACATTAGCAAGTGTCTGGCTTAAGGACACAACAACAAACCTTAGTAAGTTATCATTTGGAATAGTTAAAACTCTTAATCGTTTCCACCCTGGATACACAATACTGACTCACTTAGGACTGCTTGATTTATGGCAGAAATCATAATCAGAATTCTTACTGTCAAAATGTCTCTTTTATGGAAAGTATAAACATAATACAAGCGGTGGGACTGAGTTTCCTCCGCAGGGTGGCTGGGTGCTCCCCTACATAGAGGGTGAGGAGCTCAGAGTAGAGCCGCTGCTCCTCCCCGTCAAGAGGAGCCAGTTGAGGTGGCTCTGGCAACTGTTCTGATGCCTCCTGCACGACTTCCTCGGGAGGTGTTCATGTCCCACCAGGAAGACGCCCCGAGGAAGACCCAGGACACGCTGGAGGGACAGTGTCTCTGGGCTGGCCTGGGAACACCTCAAGGTCCCCCCGGAGGAGCTGTGGGAAGTGTCTAGGGGGAGGGAAGTCTGGGAGTCCCTGGTTAGACTGCTGTCCCCGTCACCCAGCCCTGGACAAACGGAAGAAAATGACTGGATGGATAAACGTGATATGCGATGAATATGTGTATACGATCAGCTAAATGTGCAGTTTACTGTTTGTGCTCCAGGGAGAAAGAGCTGCTGAAGGAGAAGAGGCGGAGGAGACAGGAGCTCTTCCAGGAGCAGAAGGTCATTCTCTACATATATCACACATTAAACACACTGTGGAATTTTTCTGCCTGCTGGCCTCCATAGAGACACGACTCTTTTACCTGGAGTGCCGCAGTTTGGCATTAAACTTATCTAAAGTTCTAAAGTGTTACCTGATCTAGTTACATCTAGTAATTAAATAAATGCAAGAAAGAGAACATTTGCAGAACATTTGACTAAACAATAACACGATCTCCCAGGACGCAGAGCCCACATTTGTTAGATAGTACAACCCTGTAGAACTCCAGACTCACTGAGAGGATAATGATGACTTTGTTACAGAAAAGAAGACTGCTCCCTATAGAAGTGCTGGATGAAGTGGATGCTGTTGTTCCAAAGTAAGTCTTACTCAGCGTTTTTAAACTACCATAGTGTCACAGTAAGGTCACTGAATACACTTTAACTGACCAACTCTATGGTTCTGTATTGGAACATGTGAAGTAAATATTTTTTTATGTGTCTCCAGGGAACAGGACCAAGACCAGGATGAAGGTACAGATTAAATTTACGTCCAGGTCTAAAATCCTAAAGCTTTTCTAAAGCTGTTATTGTAACATTAACTATTATTGTGTTTCATCTTTCACTTTCAGCTCCAGAAGAACCAGAGCCTCAAAAGATCTCCTCTACAAGAAGGTTAGAACTGACATGTGTTGTAATTATCACAAGACAATAACAGTGATATAATTAAAGTTAAAGATACGCTCCAACTGCTTATCTCCATAAAGCTGTTTTTGCATTGCTTGGAATGTTCCACAGTAGGGCATTAAACATATATTTATTTAACTGTAGGTGCTAAAATACATTTTGACCATTTTGGAACATTCCAGGTAAAGCAATAATCATCTCCATGGAGGCAACCGGGTGAGCACCTCTGCTTTCACAATAAATTAAGCAGAAAAGCAAACGATTTATTTATAACGTACTATTAAAAACAACACAGGTCGACCAAAGAAAATACTTAAATAAGACACAATAAAAACAATAAAACATATGAATAAAAACAGAATCTAATATAAACAACTACCATATTTTTTTGGACTATAAGTCACACTTTTTTTCATGGTTTGGGTGTTTCCTGTGACTTATACTCCAGGGCGACGTATATATTAATATTTTCAGACTGACAGCCTCGAAAGGTTCTAGTCTTGTGTGTCAGTATCTGCTGCTCCTGTTCCTCCTGTACCACTGTCACTTCACTTCTACTGCGCAAGTCTCCTGTAGAAAAAGCCGTTGTCCTGCTGCAAATAGTGAAATATTCAGCCGAAAACAGTAATCGAGCAGCAGAAAGAAAGTTTGGAGTGAGCGAGAAACATGTGAGGGACTGGTGGACAGCAGGGATGGAGAACACAGCTTCACGGCAACCGGGCAGGTGCACCATGAAACTTTCCTGGAAGTCATTGGACGAATTGACAAAGTCTGGACTTCAGTGACACCGAAACCATCCGGTCGGGATTCAGAAAGACCCGAATAATTCTAACTGGAACTGAAGCTGAGCCTGACGACAGCGACACAGAAGAGGAAGCAACGCTCTGTTTACCTCATGGATCTATGGTTTATCTCTGGAGGTCGTGCAGAAGTGACACAGAGGATGAAGATTTCAATGGATTTAGTGATTTGGAGTGAGATCGTGAGTTTGGTAAACTTATGTTCTGTTGTTTATACTATAATTATCTGAATCACTGTTAATATGTTGCGTTAACATATTAACGCCGATTCAGTCTGTTGTTCTCTGTTCTGTTGTTTTTACTAGAACTTGCCTTTCAAGATGAAATGTCAGTTCCTGGTCTCTGATTTTATAAAATACATTTCCCCAAAAAGTGCGACTTTATATATATATATATATATATATATATATATTTTTTTTTTTTTTTTTCTTCTTCATTATGCATTTTTTGGCTGGTGCGACTTATACTCCGGAGTGAATTATAGTCTGAAAAATACGGTAATAAAATGTCAACATCTCGAACTGTGTCAAGAGCCAAAGTGAACAAGTGCATTTTAAGAAGAGATTTAAAAACAGATACAGAAGAGGCCTGTCTAATGTGCAAAGGAAGCTCAACCCTCAGTCTTGGTGCTGCCACCGCAAAGGCTCTGTCCCCTTTGAGTTTCTGGTTTGTCTTCAGCCGCACAGGACAAACTGGTCAGCTGACCTGAGAGACGTGCAGGGGTGTAAGGATGACACAATTCAAACACTTAAAAACAAATAAAAGCAGTTTAAAATGGATCCTAAAGGGCACGGGCAGCCAGTGAAGGGAGGATATATTTTCGAGTGCCAGTTCAAAGACGTGCAGCCACATTTTGGACGAGCTGCAGTCGGGAAATGGAGGACTGACTCACCCCGAAATAAAGTGTGTTACGGTAATCCAGCCGGGTGATCACAAAGGTGTGAATCACTGACGTGCCAGAAGGTGCTTAACTTTAGCCAGCTGCCTCAGGTGGAATAAACTGCTCCTTACAACAAAGAGTGTCTTCTGTAACCGTATTGACCTGTTAAATGTGCCTGTTCTCTCTTCAGCCTGTTGGAGACGTACACGGTGACCACAACCAAGCAGCAGATATCGTTCCAGCAGCAGGCGGCTCAGGACTTCCTCCACTCGCGCCTCTACGGCCCCGAGAGCCGACGCTCCACAAGTGAGAGATCGACCTGACCACACTGATCACACTGACCACACTGATCACACACACACACACACACACATCTATTTTGATCCAATTATCCATAATAATAGTAATACATTTTATTTATATTCAGTGTTGGGAATGTGACTTTTAAAATGTATTCCCCTACAGATTACAGATTACATACACCAAAATGTAGTTTTTTAACGTAATCCATTAAATTACTTAAAGTGAGTAATGTAATCTGAATACTTTGGATTACTTGATTTGCTGTAAAGAAGCAAAGACGAGGAAATCTTCACATAAAATGTTTTGTCTGCTAAAAGAAAATGAAAAGCCCAAACTTTACTGAACCGTATTGAAAATATTATTGATAGAAGAAGAGGAGACATGGTCCATGCAGCAGGTTTTAGTCCTGTTAAAAACTGTTAGATCCTGTTTTAGCCCTGGTTTAGTCCTGTTTTAGTCCTGGTTTAGACCTAGTTTTAGTCCTGGTTTTAGTCCTGGTTTTAGTCCTGGTTTAGACCTAGTTTAGACCTGGTTTAGACCTGGTTTAGTCCTGGTTTAGACCTAGTTTTAGTCCTGGTTTTAGTCCTGGTTTAGACCTAGTTTAGACCTGGTTTAGACCTGGTTTAGCCCTGGTTTAGTCCTGTTTTAGTCCTGGTTTAGACCTAGTTTTAGTCCTGGTTTAGTCCTGGTTTTAGTCCTGGTTTAGTCCTGGTTTAGACCTAGTTTAGACCTGGTTTTAGTCCTGGTTTAGACCTAGTTTAGACCTGGTTTTAGTCCTGGTTTAGACCTAGTTTAGACCTGGTTTAAGACTTGGTTTAGTCCTGGTTTAGTGTCCAGCAATGAGTGGAATTACCAAACAAAAAAAAAAAAAAAAAATAAGGGAATAGCCCAAAATGTGAAAACAGGAGAATCCCGCCGTGTAATCCATTTACTTCAACAAAGTAACTGTAATCCAATCACCACTCACTGAAACAGTAACTGTAACCGAATACAGTTACTCATAATTTGTACTCTGATTACGTTACTCCAGTACATGTAATCTGTTACTCCCCAACACTGTTTATTTGAAAAGGGACAATGCACATTAATCAAGATCAAAACAATGTAAATGTGCCCGGGTTCGCTGATAAGAGCTCATTTGTCCCTTCGCCAGATGTCAAAAAGGCATCCAAAAAGAAAATACACAATCAATAATGACACAAATGTACAATAAGACTGCAAAAATACAATAAAAGTTTTAGTGCTCCCGATGAGGAGTGTGTTGCAGTATCCAGTCTTTCACACACATTCTCACTAGGGGTGTGCAAAAATATCGGAATATCGATATATCGTATCATTTAATGTGATGATACAGTATCGATATCGTGGGCTACTGTATCGATATATCACCAATAGTATTTTTACATGTGTTTTACTAAATTATTTTGTTACAGTGCTACAGTTTTGTTGTTTGTTTAGTGAAAGGAAACTCATTTATGCGACACATTTGACATTTTCACTGTTTTGATGATTAAAATGTTTGTGTTTCATATGAACTTTGCACAAGAAGTGATTTAACAAACACTTTTAGTATCACAGCCACGATTTAGCCTTTATTTTTTATTGAACCGTATCGAATCGATTTGAATTATATCATATCGAATCGAAAGTGCACTGTTTCGGTATATTTATCGTATCGTGGCCTGTGTATCGAGGTATTTATCGTATCGGCGACTTCTTAATGATACCCAGCCCTAATTCTCACGCGCTAGAGGTGAGGCGGTGTCTTGCCCGTGGACACAATGGCTCCGTCCCAAAGCCTAAGTTCTGTTCTCTTCATTTGTTCATGTCAGGCATTTGTTTTAGCGATTTCCCAAGCATAAACGTAGTGTGTCTTCAGTGTCTCGGGCTGGGACACGGAGTGAAGGAAGTGACTTCGGAGGAACACACTTCCAAGGCAAAGGGCCAAGGCTTTGGGGAAACGGCCAATGACAAAATGCACTTGTGGGAATTGAACAGCCAATGTTTGAAGTCGCTGAACATGTGTTTTACCAACTAAACAAATTCCTCCGCAGAGATCAGAACATTCTTAAACGGAGTGGAATTTTGAGCGTGTTTAGTTTAATGTCTTTTCTTTTTCAGACAACGAGCTGCTGTCGCTGCAGAACAAAAAGGGTCCCAACAAACAGGCCGCCGCGCAGTTTGTCAATAAGAACTGGGGTAGGTGACGCTCGAGGAAAACCCGTGTATCGTTCATTCGTTCGTTTTTCAAAATAAAACCAAAAATAAGAAAACGAAACAACTATTTATCTCCAAAACCAAAATGAAAAAACAGATAACGATTTGTTTTTTCAGGTTTTCGATTTTATGTTGAAATGAAGAATGAAAAAAAAAAAAGGATAACGACCGTTTCCTGTTTTTGTTAAACCAGGACTAAACCAGGACTAAACCAGGACTGACTGAACCAGGACTGACTAAACCAGGAACCAGGACTAAACCAGGACTAAACCAGGACTAAACCAGGACTAGGACTAAAACAGGTCTGGGACAGAGGCCGGGACCAGATAGGAACTGAGATCAGGGGCAAACCAGGGCCAAAACAGTTTAGTCCTTCTTCAGTCCCGGTTTAGTCCTGGTTTAGCTCTGGTTCAGTCCTGGTTCAGTCCTGGTTCAGTTCTGGTTCAGTCCTGGTCCAGTCCTGGTCAGTCCTGGTTCAGTCCTGGTTTAGTCCTGGTTTAGTCCTGGTTCAGTCCTGTTCAGTCCTGGTTAGTCCTGGTTCAGTCTGGTTCAGTCCTTCTTTCAGTCCTGGTTCAGTCCTGGTTCAGTCCTGGTCCTGGTTCAGTCCTGGTTCAGTCCTGGTTTCAGTCCTGGTTCAGTCCTGGTTCAGTCCTGGTTCAGTCCTGGTTTAGTCTGGTTTAGTCCTGGTTTAGTCCTGGTTCAGTCCGTCCTGGTTTAGTCCTGGTTTAATCCTGGTTTAGTCCTGGTTTAGCTCTTCCAGTCCTGGTCCAGTCCTGGTCCAGTCCTTCCAGTCCTTCAGTCCTGGTTCAGTCCTGGTTCAGTCCTGGTTCAGTCTGGTCAGTTCTGGTCAGTCCTGGTCAGTTCTGGTTCAGTCTGGTTCAGTCTGGTTCAGTTCCTGGTTCAGTCCTGGTTCCTGTCCTGGTTCAGTCCTGGTTCAGTCCTGGTTTTAGTCTGGTTCAGTCCAGTTCCTGGTTCAGTCCTGGTTCAGTCTGGTCAGTCCTGGTTTAGTCCTGGTTCAGTTCAGTTCAGTCCTGGTTCAGTTCCTGGTTTAGTCCTGGTTCAGTCCTGGTTCTGGTTCAGTCCTGGTCAGTCTGGTTTAGTCCTGGTTCAGTCCTGGTTCAGTCCTGGTTCAGTCCTGGTTTAGTCCTGGTTCAGTCCTGGTTCAGTTCTGGTTCAGTCCTGGTTCAGTCCTGGTTTAGTCCTGGTTCAGTCCTAGTTCAGTCCTGGTTCAGTTCTGGTTCAGTCCTGGTTCAGTCCTGGTTCAGTTCGACATGGAAACGGGAATCGGTCTTTATCCGTTTTTTCCATTATTCATTTAAACACAAAATCGAAAACTGACAAAAACGAATGATTATCTATTTTTTTCATTTTGGTTTTTAAAATAAAATAGTTAAAATAGTTTTTATTTTCCTAAGGAAACAACAGAACAAATCAACTGTATGTAATTATAAAAGAGCAATTATAAAAATACATTAGGTCCATGTAACTTCTGATAGGAGCGTCTGCCACCTGCTTTGCCTCGTGTAGCACACACCCTCCACTACAAAAGTTGCGTAGTGCACCTTTAACTTTCACTGTCACAGTTTGGAAACAGCAAAAATCTGGACATTTGAACAATAGACAAACTTTTTGTGGTTCACTTTTTATAATATACTTCCCCTTTTCCCAGTATCGTGCAGTGTACATTTTGGATTTGAAGCTCAGACCATTTTCCAAGAGATTAAATGTTGACAAATCCTTCAGTAAAAGTTAGTGTCGTCTGAAATCGTCCTCTGCCTGTAGGTTCCTCACGTCTGCTCTTGTGTTTGCAGCGTCTAAAGAAAAGGCCAAAGCAGAGAAACTCAAACAGCGCTGGCTCCACAAGCAGAAGATCTGGTGAAGGACCTCAGGACACGGACCTCAGGACGGACCTCAGGACGGACCTCAGGACGGACCTCAGGACGGACCTCAGGACGGACCTCAGGACGGACCTCAGGAGCTTCTGTCCCGAGCTCCTCAATGATCTGAGACTGTTTGAGGACACGTTATGCCAAATGAACTTTTGAAAAATGTTATAAGATTGTTCCCTCGTCTCACATACCTGGAGTTTTTTTTTTTTTTGCTTCACTCGTATAAACTTCTAACACATCACATATTTAGATCGCCGTGTTCCTTTTATTGTTTTGTTTCTGTATTCACCCAAAACAACGTGTTAACATGTTTTAAAGTTCCCCCTCACTTTGCTCTGAGCAGAAAGTCAAATGTAACTACTAGGTCCCGATCGATATATCGGTTATGTCCATTTAATCCAATTTATAGACAGATAAATGTCCTAATATGTGGCGCCGCGTCAATATTTATCTGGGGATTAATTAGTCTGTGTCTGTGACTCTGTACTGCCCCTGAACGCACCCTTACGTCACGTGAACAACTGCTGTCAACATGCTGGATTATATTCTTTTTACGGACGATCGTTTTGAGTCGGGATTGGAAGGACACTTAATTGTAAAGACTTGTGATCTGAGAGGTGCCTGTGTGAGCAGGGAGTGTTACAAATGTGTCGGTTTTTGAAGCGACTTTTCATTCGTTCTTTGTAAATGAACTGTGAAAAGGTGTGAACGATCCACATTTACATTCACACGTTAAATATGACTGTAAAGAGGCAGAATAACAATAAATGTAACCTAAATAAACCCAATATAAAACCCAGTAGAGCCAGACCTAAGTTTTATAATCAGTTGAAGATTTATACTGAATTTTACATCACTAAATATATCGACTATCAGCAGCTCCAGCCCCCATTTTATCGGTATATCGGTCGCAAAAATCCATGTCGGTCGGCCCTAGTAACTACTGCACATCAGGTTTGTGAAGTTGGCGTGTACAGTTTTTGTATCAATGACTTTTAGTTTTTGTATAATTATGGAGAATATATGCATTGTGAATATCAGACTTCCGGTCATCACGCAGTGCATACTGGGAAAGATCCTCCGAAAAAGTGAGCATCAAACTGCCATGTTTGTTTTCCCAGTGGGATGTGTCTATTGTCAAAGTCGATCTTTTCAAGTCTTTTGAACCATATCACTTTTGTTTCTGGTTCTGATATTGTCATATTTTAGTTTTGGGATTCGGACATCGTAATTGTGTGGTTGTTGGATCCTAACAGCGGAAAACGGCTCGAGAAACGGGCTTCAGAAGTTTGCGAACTCCATAAATGCAAAAGTGAATCAGATGTGTGTGACTGCAAACCTCCTGTTCAAACTGTTTCTCTTCCCAACGGAATTGAAAAATAGTGAAAGGTGAAGGCGATGGGCAGGATTGATCCACAAACCAAAAAGGAAACTTTTGGCCGCCTTAAGAAATCATCCTGAGTTTGCAGCGAACATTTTGTATGTGGAGCACCATCAAAGTAAAATCCTGATCCTTCGCTCAATCTTGGTTACGAATTTAAAAAGTCAATGCCAAAGCGAAAGGCACCAGCTGTTCACCAAGAAACACCTTCCACTGCAAAGAGACACCAAGACGTGATGTTGCTGTAAAACCACAAGAACAAGAAAGTGCAGCTCAGTCTGTTTGTCCTCTGTTCCTCTCGCTATAAAAACAGGATTTTACTTTGTTGTCGCTCCACATACAAAACGTTTGCTGCAAACTCAGCATGATTTAGACAGTCAAAGTTTTCCTTTTTGGTTCTTCCTGTGGATCAATCCTGCCCATCACCTTCACCTTTCACAATTTTTCAATTCCGTTGGGAAGAGAAACAGTTTGAATGAAGGTTTGCAGTTACACACATCTGAGTCACTTTTGCAGTTATGAAGTTCGCAAACTTCTGAGGCCCATTTTCCACTGTTAGGATCCAACAATCACATAATTACGATGTCCGAATCCCAAAACTAAAATATGACAATATCAGAACCAGAAACAAAAGTGATTTGGTTCAAAAGACTTGAAAAGATCGACTTTGACAATAGACGCGGTTTGCTGCTCACTTTTTCGGAGGACCTGTCCCAGTATGCATTACGCGATGACCGGGAGTCTGAAATTCGCGACGCATGTATTGTCGCGTGAGTAGATGGATGACGTGGACTTGGGGGTTGAGCGTTGCACAGAATCTTAGTTAACCGTCAGGAGAGTTCAAACGGGGCCTCGGAGACATTGCCAGATTATTACTAACAAGCGCGGATGACGTTTTAAACCTCTTCGGGCATGTTTTTTATGAGGGAACAACGTTGTAACACACCCTCTTTAATCCTGTTTACGATGTTGCCGTGCTCTGAGCTGCAGACATCAGAGCGCGAGTGAAATCCTGTGCATTTTAAATCCATAAATCACCGGCAGCTTCGTTTGTGAGTTTTTTCTACTGTCAAATCAGGTTCATTCATTTAGTAAACTTTACAAAGCCATTATTTTAAGCTCTAAAACACGAAATGCCAAAGCAAAGGTACGCAAGGTCAATAACGACACAAACATCGAATAATAATCATCTTTTAAATGCACATTATATGACCCGTAAAGTGCTACAGATTATTACTGTTGTATTTAGATCTGTAGAGAATTGTAACTGGGAACGTTTTACAAGATTGGGGTTCACACTCTTTTTCACTGACAAAATTTCAAAGCTTTTTCAAGACTTTTTCATGACTTAAAGAGAATTTTCCATGACTTTACGGCACCTACATGTTTAGAATTGGTCAGACTTTGAGATAAATATGAAACTTTAACCTTTTTTAACATTCAAAATACTGTGTGTAGATTTTTTTGGGCCATTTTTATGTAATAATGTAAGATTTGAGTAGTAGAGAGTAGAATAAATAACTTCTACTGTTAATTATTGGTTCATTCTGCCTTTTATTTGTCTTTTAATGAGACAGAATATTTAAAATTTGGTTTACTGGTTTATCCTCCTTTGTGTCAGTGGCATGAAGTCGTTTCAATATTATTGTTTATTATTATTGAGTATTTCTCTCTAGTGATAAATTGTGCTTCAACATTTGTTCTGGTGACAGGCCTGGGACACGGTCTATGTTTTCTCAAGGTCTGGACTAAAGTGTTAAAGGTACTGCACCACGTTTTTACGGTCTGAAAATGTGAAAAACAGAGCTAGTTCATTTGAAAATGTTTGCAGTGATCAAAAGTTATTCCTCACTTACCAAATCAAAGCATCACACAGGGTTCCCACTCTTTTTCATGGAAAAAAATAATACAAAACTTTTCCAGAATTTTTTCATGATAGAACTAGGGCTAATAGTGAACTTTATGGTTTTTATAGTTTTTTAACATTCAAAATCCTGTGTGTTGATTTTTTTTTTTTTTTTTTTGCCATTTTTATGTAATAATGTAAGATTTGAGTAGTAGAAAGTAGAATAAATAACTTCTACTGTTAATTATTGGTTCATTCTGCCTTTTATTTGTTGAAGCTCAGGACTTTTAATGAGACAGAAGATTTAACATTTTGTTTACTGGTTTATCCTCCTTTGTGTCATTGGCATTTCAATATTATTTATCAGAATATTTCTCTGTAGTGATAAATTGTGGTTCAACAAAGGTCTGGACACATTTTTACGGTCTGAAAATGTGAAAAACAGAGCTAGTTCATTTGCATTTGGTAAAAGAGGAATAACTTTTGACCACTGCAAACATTTTCATTCAAATCAAAGCATCACACAGGATTCCCACTCTTTTTCACTGACAAAATTTCAAAACTTTTCCAGAATTGTTCATGACCTAAAGTGAATTTTCCATGACTTTACGGCACCTACATGTGTAGAATTGATCAGACATTTAGAGCTAAATATGAAATACCCTTTCCACTCACCTTTTCCACTTATTGTTTGGTATTCTACATTCATTTATTTAGAGCATTTATTGTCGTTTCTTTTAAACAAAAGGCGCAGATGTTCAAAAATAAGTTCTCATTAGACTATTATGATTAACAGAACGCTGGAGTTGTGTGAAAGAGATACTAAAATTCCATGACTTTTCCAAAACTTTCACCGAATTTACAAAATGTCATGATTCTTCCAGGATTTCCATGACCGTGGGAACCCTGCGAGTTACTAGGAAGTATTTTGAACAGGTACTTGAGTCAACTGTGCAGCCGTTTTGTCTTCACTGTAAACTTGGGCTACAGGTATCAGCCAACTGTGCTCGTCTCTAAATAAAATTGTTGTACACGTGAGCATAATTAATAGTTTTTGATACTAATGCAGCATAACGTATGATTTCACTGTGAAGGCCGTAACAAATAATAAAGTGTCGTGAGTGAAATCATATATTTGTTTAAATATTGTTAATGAAGTCACACAGTTAATGTTTAACTACTGACATCTGATATATGTGTTTAAAGATACTGCTGTGTAGGTTGTGTCTTTTTAAGGAAATTCTTTACAGAGCAGCTGATGTGGGGTCATCCTGGCTGGCACCAAACCTAAACAGATCTGGTCATTCCCATAAACGGAGAGGCTTCAGGGAGGATCCAAGGAGTGAACCTGGACAACATATCATTTGCATATTTCTGTGAATGAGTGCGTATACATGCACATCAATAACCCGGTTATTCGCCATATCCCGGTTATGTCAGTATTCGGGTTACTGCGTTTACATGCGCACTGAGAAACCGGGACACTCATATTCGCGTATACATGATCAAATGGAGTATCCCGGTTTCTTGACATAATCTTACAAATGCGCAGGCGCAAAAATTTACTTAAATAAATTTCATAAACCAGGAAAAATACAAACCGTGAGCTCCTTTAGCATAAGAAGCTAAGGAGCTACGAGATCTCCCACAATCCACTGCACACATCAAACCCAACAGATTCTTCATTAAAATCTTCTGCATAAATAAACTCAACTTTACAACATATAAACCATAAAGACTATAGAGCCACATCAGCCCGTTTGATCAGATCATTCAGCTGTGATCACATTTGTTTACGTTTTACAGAAACAAAACTTAAGACCGTAGGCTAATTAGCATAAACTGCTAGCGGCGATAAAAACAACTCGCTCCTTGTGCCGCTGATGTGATCAGTTTCTTTTGGACTAAATGACACGACTCTGTGGATTATGTGTGTTATTTCTGTGACAGAAGAGGCGCTAATGATGGTAAGTGTGTTCCGTGCATATAGAGTATAGGAGATAGTTCATGTTTTAGCTTCTCAGCGATCACACGAGTGCAGGTCGTACGAGTGGATTGTACGTGTGCAGGTTTAGCGTAGCTCTTTATTTTACAGTCATTTCACTCGTTTGGTCAATTTATTTATGTGACTACTGTTGTGGTGAAAGGCTGGAAAGTGTCTTTTGGACGCATGCGCACTCAACTTTATGTTGCAGTAACCGGGGTACTGCATATACATGCCACAAGTAACCCGGTTACTATCGGAGTAAACAAGCTACAGTAACCCGGTTTCTAATAACCGGGTTACTGAAACCGGGTTACTGCGTTTACATGCACCATGAAGAAACCGGGATACTCAAAAAACCCGATCATTATTGATGTGCATGTGTACACACTCAATGTGTATATATACTGGGTGAAGAGACAGATGCAGGCGTCAGATGACCTGATTGTAAGTCCTGTGTAGAAGAGGCCATCAGGGACAGTGGTTTGACCCAGAGCTCTGTATTAGAATTGCATTGAATAGGGAATAAATGTTTGTGATTTCAATCAATCGATTCCAGTCATTATTTTCTACAACTGGAACACGCCAACAATTGCTATTAAAATTACTTCCTGAAATAGTAGTAGGATTTTCTTTTTAAACCAGCAGCCCTGTAATTGTCTTGGTGACTTAACTTGTGGTTCAAGCGTTAAGCTGCAAAAACCAAACTGAATCACATGACACTGCTGATTATGATCCAATACATATTTTGTTTACTCTTATTAAGGAATTACTTGTTTGCATTTACGAGAAAAGGTTTATGCCTCAACATGTCGTGGGAAACATGACCAACATTAAACAGTAATTACGAACTTTTAAATTTCAGTAATATTTTCATTACCGTAATATACAGGGTGTCACAAAGAATTTGACATTTCACAGGTCAATCATTTTGGCAATTCTTGTTGAAATAGCCTAAAATTTTCACAGAATGTATAGATACAGATCAAGATTTTATATTTAGTGTTTTCTTGTCGTTCACTCTCAAAGAGAAATCATTTTGCGTTTTTTGGGATCACACTCATCCAAGACTGCAGCAGTACCTTCAAAGCAAAATTTAGAAACACTTCACCAATTGGCAAACAAATTTGACTTGGTACCAAAAATGTAAAGAGGAAGTTTGCTTATGTCGAGTTAAATGATCTGGTACACCAAACCGTCATTCGAGGAATTTCCAAAGGAGTTTCCAAACATTCTCCTTATGGACTTCTCGGGGCTTCGCAAGAGTTTTTCATGAACTTGCTGGACCTTCTACCAGATCCTTTAGCCCTGCATAAACGGCCTTCCTCTTTAAATTTCTGGTACCAAGTCCAAATTTGTTTGCCAGTTGAAGTTTTTTACCAAATTTTGCTTTGAATGTACGCTGCACAGTCTTGGGTGAGTGTGTGCGAGCAGATTCCAAGACACAAAATGACTTCTGTTTGCGAGTGAATTACATTAAATATAAAATCTTGATCTGTTTCTATACATTCTGTGAAAATTTTAGGTTATTTCAACATGAACAAGTGCAGTCAGAGATATCAGCCTGGTCCCCATGAGGCGTCGGTGGGTCAGTTCATCCTCACAGAAGCAGTTTATGAGGAGTCCAGTCCATATTACATGATCATTATATCCACAATGTAATGTGTGTATCTGTACAGGCCCATGAACATTAGTGTGATGTTGGTCACACATGAGAATGTCTATGTTTACTAGTGTGGAACCAAAATGTCATTTTTCATGAGTTGTGTGTATGTGAGTTGTGTGAATGTAGATCAGTGTGTTGTGTATCACCAGAAAAAGAAGAAATGGAAATTATTTTTGTTCCAATTAGAATTTCAACAGCTACACTGAAAGAGAAAGGAACTGGTATAATTACTGATTATCTCAAAAACTAATATTTTACTATACAAATGCATAGAATTATAAATAGATAATAATTTTTCTGAGATTTTGAGACACTCCTGTTGCTCAAGCTCGATCCTTCGCAGAGTTATGACCAAAAACACATATTTGACCTTGTTTACCTTGACCTTCCAGTGACCTTGACCGGTTTCAACCTGTAACATCCAGTGTGCCCCGGTTATGTGTGTGCCAACTTGTGTGATGAAATTGCCAATCCTTTATAATGGCGTGACCTTTCAATTGACCCGTGTGACCTCAAATGACCTCGGATCGTCACCAAACTTTTTTTTTTTGCGGCATCGGGCACGGGGGCTTGACGCACGCACCAAATTTGGTGACAATCAGTCCATAAATGTCGGAATTATCACGGGTGGACACACACACACACACACAGGGTGAATATAAAACCTGGTCAACCCTTCGGGGACCAGGTAAATACCAAAATTATTGGTCTGCGAAATGATGTCAAATTTTTGGGACACCCTGTACTTTGCAATAATACTAAGGAAAAAGCTAAATTTTCCTTTTAAAACTGTATGTACCATGTGTGGCTTAAAATGTTATAATCACAACTGAACCTGTTGCCAAAGCCTTAACTTGCAGATAAAGGTCATATCCAAATTTGTCTCTTTCTCAGTTTATGTTCAGGCATCATGTGAAGCTCAGAACCTCCAGAATCCCCTCCCTGAGCTGCAGAGGCTGCACTAGCGCTGACTGGGGTTTAGATAGTGACCTTTCTAGGTATATGCCCCCTCATAGTGGAGCTGTTGAAGACCAAAAAAGTGCCCAATTGTTCACTTCGATGGTACAAGCATGAAACTTTGCCAGATTATTAACATCCCTAGGACCAACATTTCTGCATATGGAACCAAGCCCGAGTCGACCCTGCACTCGAGTACATGTCCCAAAATGGCAGACATGGAAACGAGGCTGGGAGCTAAATTATTGCTTACACTGCCTTTTCGTGCTTCTGTGCAGCATTTAATTACCATTGTGAAATATGGTATGGCATTTGCAGATCTTTAGAGATGGTTAAAATGTTTTTTTGTTATCAAAAACCCAATAAATATGACTGAAAGATAAAATATTGGATTAATTTGGATTTTAACCACAGGGAACCCACACCACCCTTACATTCACAGGGAAAACCGTCGTGTGACGTCCTTAGTAGGGCTGGGTATCATTAAGACATTGCCAATATGATACATACCTTGATACACTGGCCACGATACGATACGTCTCTTGATAAGAGTGCACTTTTGATTTGATGTGATATATTTCAAATCGATTTGATACAGTTCAATAAAAAATAAAGGCTAAATCATGTTTGTGATACCAAAAATCTTTGTTAAACTAATGCTTGTGCAAATTTAATATGAAACACAAACATTTTAATCATTGAAACAGTAAAAATGTCAAATGTGTTGTATAAATGAGTTTCCTTCCCCTAAACAAGCAACAAAACCGTATTGGTGATATATTGATACAGCAGTCCCCGATATCGATACTGTATCATCAGATTAAACGATACATTATATCGATATTTTGATATTTTTGCACACCCCTACTCCTTAGTGCTTTGGAGTTGATAAAAAATAGGGTAACACTTTAATAATAATAACTACACCTTATTTAGCCTTAATAAAGCATGAATAAATACTTAATTAATAATGAACAAAGACTTATTTAACAATGATTCACGCTTAGTAAATGCTTAATAAAGCATAATTTGTCTTCACTTCAGAAAAGCTCTCAAAAAGACTTAACTAACAGATAACAGCTGCCTGAATTATCATTGCATTGTATTATTAATAAATCATTCTCTCATAGTTTACTAATGATTAATAAATGCTCAAATGGTTAGTCCATGAGTAATTAAGTATGAAATAATTATGAGTAACTATTTACAGCACAGGCAAATTAAGTGCAAGTGCTAATTAAGGTAGAAATTAATTAATAATGATTCACGCTTAGTAACACTTAAGTCTTTGTTCATTATTAATTAAGCCTTTGTTCATGCTTTATTAAGGCTAAATAAGGTGTAGTTATTATAAAGTGTTACCAAAAATGGTTGTTCAACATTATAAAATGGATAACTAAGCAAAGTAGACTATAAGAAATGGATTAGGCAGTGTTTTTTATGGCAGCCTCGTTTTCATATAGTCCATTTTGTGACAGGTGCAGTTCTCAGCTCCAGTGTTACATTAGGCTTGGTTCCATATCCAGAAATATTAGTCTTCGGGGTGTTACTAATGTGGCAAAGTTTCATGCTTGTACCATAAAAGCGAACTATTTTGGTCCTTAACAGCTCCACTATCACATTTTTATAAACATACACATTTTTTTTTGACAGGCGAAACAGCACGACTCCACTCAGTCTCATGGAATTGGGACCTTTATTATTAGAATAAGTTGTGGATTCTGCTTTTGCTGGCGTTCAACAAATATACTGTAAATGCAAGTAACAATAATTAACATATTGATCATTAGAATAAGATATTTGTCTGCACCGTTCTTGTTAATCCGGAAAAGAAGAGCCACGTGACACGCCCCACAACCATCAAAACCGAAAAAAAAAAAAAAAAAAAATAGAGGAAAGAATTGTCAAACCAATTCAACGCAACAGTAAAAACAGCTTAGAAGAGTCTGTCCCAGTCCACACACACCGCGTCACACGTGGGGAAGAGAGGGTGGGCGGGGACGGGTTGGGGGAGGGGGAGCACGTAGCCCCATGCTCCTCTGTTAACACACTATTCAATACATCCCCCTCTTAAACGAGTTATTCCGAGTAAGCCCAGTACTTTAAAGAGCCCAGATTACTCTTATTTTCTGATTTAGTTCGCGTTTCCTCGTCAAAAACAAACCCGGAGTTGTGTTTTTTTGCTCCATTCACACGTTTAAACGCGCAAATCCTGCTTATTTAGGCTGAGTTCTGATCCCAAAACGGAAAACGCGCCATCCCGGACGTTCCCCACCGTGTTTTTAAACTCCACACACCTTCACGAGAATTATTTGGATGATTTCCCGCCCAAAAATTGACAATATCGAATGAACAAAAGGTTAAAAATGTGGCTGAACTACGGTGACTAGGTTTTCAAAATAAAAAACTACGACATTTAGGACTTTTTAGGATTTTTTTTTTTTTTTTAAAGTGTCTCCACACGTCTCCAACACTCTGGTTCACTAGGAAATGATGTTCTATTTCCAAAATGTCAAACTGTCTTTAGGTAAAATACAAAAAAGCTGCTTCAAGCCTTAAACAAATGACAACGTTTGCCTCTTTTTACTGTTCGCAGGGATCAAATTGGTCAAAAATACAGACATTTTTGTGTAAAACTTGGGACAAATCACTGTTTTTTGGATGAATCTGCTGGGACAAGGGACACCGGCCTCAAAACTGGGACTGTCCCGGGTAAATATCGACGTCTGGTTACTCTAGACTGAACAAAACGGTAAAACAGTGATGCAAAACAGTGACTGTAAACTTCAAAACCAGCACTTGATGATATCACAAGGTGGAATTTAGCATTTTAAGCTTTGGGAAAGCAGACTAATAATAAAGGATTCAAATGCGTGAATGAAAAAAAAAAAACACAACTCCAGGTCTGTTTTCGAGAAGGTGACGACATTTTAAAGGCTTAAAGCTCACGGGAATCCATTTTGTGTAATATAGGACCTTCAACCCAAACCTCCTATTTCGTTTTTTTGTTTTTTGTTGGGTTGATAACTTCCGATGGGATTTGTTAGCACGTCGTGGCGTTACAGGACGTCTCGGAGTCTCCGGAAATTCCCCCCGTATCTGCTCAGGACACGTACGCGGGACTCCAATACAAACGCGCACTGAAGTCTGAATCTCTAAGTTGTTGCATAGGAATAAATTTTCCGGTTTAGCCTTCGTGGTGTGAAGAGGAGAATTGACTCGGATGTTTGCCCAACTAGCGATAACAAGGCTACATTTTGCATAAAAGTGTAAAATATATAGTTTAAAAAAACGTCTTTTTTTTTTTTTTTTTTTAACGACACTCACTTTGTGTCTGGTAACAAAGAGATTCCGTCGACTCAGTAGCTTGGGGTCCGATACTTTAAGCGAAAAATCTGATTTCGCCGATTCCGAGACGCCCTGAACGCCGTGTTACTCCTTTTAGGGTCACATTTGTTACATCGTTTGTCACGGGAATATAATCTTTTGTAGAATTATACATACATTAAATCAAACAAAAGCCACTAACCACTACGCGTTGGGTTAAAGGGGAGTATTTCTCATCACATACAGTGTCCTCTAGTCTCTTCCCCCTGAACAGAGAGTGGGCGGGGCCTGCGCCTGGAGTCCTGTTTCGGCTCTTGGTTTAACGCTACGAGGCCGGTTTCCCATCAAGTCAAAGAAAAGGAACAGAGCGGAGCGATGAAGGACCGTGCCTGCCCCGAGCGCTCAGCCTCCGGAGATGGTCGGGTGGAGGCGGCGGGGAGGGAGGGGAGGGGCTATCGAGCCGGTGGTGGACAGTCAGCTCTGACGTATGAACCGGGGGGGAGTCTGCCTGTAGAAGAGCCCCGTCCTGCCTGTGGACCGCGGCTGGAGAGGAGACGGCTGCTTACGAGTCTTCACATTTTAAAACTGGATAAGAACTGGGAAGTCTAGTCATGTACCGTATTTTTTGGACTATAAGTCGCACTTTTTTTCATGGTTTGGGTGTTTCCTGTGACTTAGAGAGACCAAGAGGGCGCTCTAGTCTTGTGTGTGAGTATCTGCTGCTCCTGTTCCTCCTGTACCACTGTCACTTCGCTCTTTACTGCACGTCTACTGCAGAAAAAGCCTCCGTCATGAAATCTACAGCCGAAAACGGTAATCGAGCAGGAGAAAGAAAGTTTGGAGTGAGGCAGAAACTTGTGAGGGACTGGAGAAAAGTGGGGATGGCGAACGCGGCTTCATGGGAACCAGGAGGGCGCACCGTGTACCGTATTTTCCGGGCTATTAGACGGGCTCTTAAGCCTCCAACCGCATCAAAAAACGAACAGGCGCCTCGCAATTCAGAGTGCCCTATACACGAATCCACTCGGGTGTCCCAGCACAACTTCAGTAAACTAAAAAGCCGCAAACACACACGGAGCAGACAGCGACCGCACAGCAACAAACACCCACAGACACACTCATCACTTTACGCCGACGAGCAACGGAACGGAGGAACGAACCGAAAAAGCGAGTGCAATGTGCCACTTCTAGTCACAACTGAACAACTGAGTCACTGCGAACACGCCGACAATCCGTTGGTCCCAGACAGCACCTCCCTACACGCCACAACTGAACAAAGCCCAGAGTCACCGTGAACGCCACAAACAAACAAAACCACTCACCCATCACACTGTTGCGTTTCCTTTAAAGTCTCACGCGGTTTATTTGCGAAAAAAGTTTGAAAATAGACCATTTAATGACAGTGCGCCTTATAATCCAGAGCACCTAATAGCCCGGAAAATACGGTAACTTTCCTGAAGTCACTGGATGGATGGACAAAGCCTGGACTTCAGTGACACCGAAACCATCCTGTCGGGATTCAGAAAGACCAGAATAATTCGAGAACTCAAATTCTGGAACTGGAAATGATGCAGAGTCTGACGACAGCGACACAGAAGAGGAAGCAGCGCTCTGTTTACCTCCGGAGGTCGAGGAGTTGTTCAGAAGTGACACCGAGGATGAAGAATTGAATGGATTTAGTGATTTGGAGTGAGATGGAGAGTTTGGTAAACTTGTTCTGTTCTGTTGTTTATGTTATAGTTTATCTGAAGAACTGTTCATATGTGACGTTAACAGTCTGTTGATCTCTCTTCTATTGTTTTCACTAGAACTTGGTCTCTCTTGGTCCCGGTGTCTGATTTTATAGATTAAATTTCCCCCAAAAAGTGCGACTTATATGTTTCTTTCTTCTTCATTATGCATTTTTTGGCTGGTGCGACTTATAGTCCGAAAAACACGGTAATAGAATTGGGTTTCACATGGAGGGGAGTGGCCGGTATAACTCTGTGGCTTTAAACACATTTTTTCAAGTGATGTGAGCTCAAATCATCAGATCTGAAAACCACAAGTATAAAGGCCCGGTGAGGGGAGGGGGGGGGATAGGTTTCACATCTGCCATCTACTGGAAACAAAATCTAATGTATTTACAAATCGTAAGCTTTTAACTGCAGATTTTATTATAGAAACCCCCCCCCACACACACACACACTCCTCAGTTTTGAATTACTGGCCTATTAGAAGATCATAACCTCACCTAAACCTAAACATCACCTCCCACGGTTCATTAAGAGAACAGTAAACTCCAGTGTCGTAAAAACAGGTAAATTTCATCCTACAGCTGTAAGCACGTCTCCCTCGGGGCCCACAGGCGGACGGGCCGGCGGAGGGTCCAGCGGGCGGGTGGGCGGGCGCTCAGAGGGGCAGGTTGTGTGGGGCGGGGGTAAAGGGCTAGTGCAAGTAATGGTCCACAGAGGCGAAGGCGCAGGAGCCTGTGCCGGTCCGAGCCATCACAGACAGACACTGGGCGGCCTGTCCCATGGCCAGAGCCAGGGGAGGCTGCTTCGGGAGGTTGTGAGTCTCTGCACACACACAAAAACACAAAACATTAATGAAAATCCAAAATATTTATGTAGACTTTAAAATGTAAAAAAAATAAATAAAAGACTTCCAGGCTAGAGGAAGTATCCAGGCTCCATCTAGAACATTTCTCTGGGTTTGGCTCCGGTTTAGCCTCAGGTGGCTAAGAGTAAACCCTGCGCCTGACAATTATGACTGTGAATTATGACAACTGAATGAAGCAAAGACTGAGGTGATACTGTTTGGGTCCGGCAGTACCCTCACTGATGTGAAACACCTCACAGTCACCAACCTTGGCGTCACCTTAGACAGAGATTTTAAATTTGACAAGCAGATCAATGGCGTTTTAAAATCGGGTTTTTCAAGTTCAAAACTTTTTGAACAAGTCGTGCACGCTTTTATTTCATCACGCCTGGACGACTGTAACGCACTTTATTCCGGCATCTCACAAAACGCACTTTACCGGCTCCAGTTCGTCCAAAACTCTGCGGCGCAACTTTTAACGGGAACCAAAAGAAGACAGCACATTTTCCCAATGCTTCAGTCTTTGCATTGTTTGTTTTTAAAGCTTTGAACGGACTGGCCCCATGTTACGTCTCGAACCTCCTCCAAATTTACAAATCTGAGGTCCGACATTCAGCTCCAGCTTGTGGTCCCCAAGACGAGACTTAAAACCAGGAGGACAGGACCTTCTCTGTGGTCGGCCCTAAACTCTGGAACGCTCTGCCCCCTCCCCATGTCCGAACAGCCCCCACTGTGGAAAGTTTTAAGTTTCGTCTTAAGACCCACTTTTATTCTCTGGCTTTTAACACCACGTGAGTTGTGTGGTCCTCTGTGTTTATTTATTTTGAATGTATTTTATTGGCTTTATTTATTTATTGCTATTCTATGATTTTGCTCTGATTTTATTTTATTGGTTTTAATATTTTAAGACTAGTATGATTAAATCTGAGCGTTTACTTGATCATTTTATTATTGTTGACCGTGGCTGGTCAAACAAGAACCCTGTGGCGACGTGACCTGTAATGTGTTCCTGGATAAAGAGAGAGAAATGTTTTAGCCAAGTTTGCTGTGACTTTGAACACACAGAGACACTGTAAAGTCGTCTCCTCTACAGTCCATCACAGAAATGAGCCGTCCTTGCAGTTGCACTGATACAAAACACATTAGGCTTTTAACACTGGCTTTAATGTGGAGCACAGGGTTTTACAAAGCACACTGGACGACCGAGAGGTCTCAGTCCACCGAAACCTTTAGTGTAGATTTGTCCTGATCACTCCAGTGAAGTGCGAAGTGGTCCCAAGCAGTTACCTCCCTTTTCAGCAGTGTCAGCAAAAACATATTAGGGCCCAGTCAAGCAAAAGTAAACAAGGCCAAAAATTCAAGTTAATGCATCTGATATAAAAATTTATTCAACAGATACATATGTTCTCTAGTTTATGAAACTGTTGACCTTTTTTCTGTACCGTTTTTGGTTCTAAAGTTCCATATGTTTTAAACAGACCTGCAAATCATGTAAATAAATGGATGTATTTCATCATATCTTGTGTTATTTGATCTTTGAACTGTTGATGAAGGTACATGATTTAAAAAAATATATATATATATATTTACAATGATAAAAATTTGCTTGGAAGGACTGACATATTTTATAGAAATAGTTTCCTTTCATTTTGAAGTAATATTAAAGTATTCGGAAGAAAAAAAGCGACAAATTATGTAAAATCCTGCACCTTCTACTTGCTTACACAATTTTCCCTCTGTGACTTTTCCCTCCGTTACCATGAACTTTCTTAATAAAAAACCTCATGACTCAAAAAGTAAGAGGTTTTTCAACCTAATCTTGTTCCATATGGTAGAAAACTATATGAAGCAAATATTCAAACCAGTTTGTTAAGGATATGTAAGTGAGAACCAAGAGTTATCACTGTTTGGATTTATTGCCCAAAAAGTGCTGCATATTTCATTCCCTCCGTTACCGACATGAGTTTTAAAAATTTTTGTCAACAACTTGAAAGAATATCACAGGTTTAATAAGAATGAATAATGAATAATAATGAATAAGACATATTTGAATGTAAAAAATCTGCCCCTGTTTCCCTCCGTTACAGCTTGTTTGGACCCATTACCCTTATTTTAGTTTTTACTATTTAAAATTAAAACATTTCAGGCTGGTAAACATGCAGCTTTGTTTGCATTTCCGGGTACTGACATGGAATAACAGTAATGAACCAAGAAGTGGCAAAACTAAACGAAGCAGGCGTACGGAGGAGACTGTAGTTTTAAAGCGTGGTGAGGGGGCGTAGCTGTACCTAATATTGCACTGTTGAGCGTGGAGCAGACGGGCTCTCTCTGAATGGCGTCCAGCTGGTATCCCACAGGGCTGCTCCAGGGGTCCGAGTAGGCCAGCAGGCTGAAGGCGTCCTGCAGACAAACAACACATGCTACTCTCCACACACACGTCCTTTACACACAACACCTCCTCACACGTCCTCTACACATGTAACATTTTCTGAAAACCCTGTAGCCCAACTAGCAGGAACTTGATTAAACAAAGCTACAGTTGTTACAGTTTGACTTCTCTGATAAACAGACTGTTCCTCATAGCTTTGGGCAGTAATAAAGTATTACAGTATTACAGTATCCCACGGTATCAAAAAGTAGCAACAGTATCAGTTTCATTATAGTCATTAAAAAATCTGCAGAGCATAAGGACCGTACACAGCTCACCTCTGGATTAATTATTTAAAAAAAGCCAATTTGCAAAGACTGCAGGTGCCTAAAATGACACTTTGCGGTGCTTTTGAGGAGGCCACGATGGACGAGTGTGACTGAAATGTTTATTACTGCATGAGTGAACGCTCTGAAAGCTGCACTTAGAATTTTAATTTCCAGTTTTTGCAGACTGAACAAATCAGACAATGAAATAATAATGTTCAGTGCAATAAGATCAGTCCAACATGTGGAGACACTGGTGTGGTTGTCTTTTAAAAACATAAATGTTTATTGTTTTGTAATGTCACCGTCGTTGTCTGTTTTAAAAATGGATGGAATAAAGATGATGATGACCTAACATAATATTATAATTTATTGACACCTAAATTTGTTTGCTGAGCACAAATGAATGTGTGGTTGTATTTTCAGTTTAATTCCATCACGATTTAAAACTAATAGAATCTATAAACAACATTTCCCCACGTTTGACTACTCCAAATTTAAGACTTTAAGACCTTTTTAAGACCACTTACAGGAAAATTAAGCCCAACATCACACCCATTATGTGGGCAAAAAACACCAGATTCCAGCTCTAATAATAATGATCATTACTCACTGCTTTAAATAACAACAACTATAACATCTCAATCCGAATTCATTTATAGTAGTATGCATTGCTTGTAAAATGGCCAAAAAATTATTTTTAATGTTAAAAATATAGTTATGTTTTTTTCCTCCCTCCATTTAACACTGCACTGCAGCCTGGGTGTGTATACAATAAATAGGTTAATAAAATTAAGTCCTTTGTGAAAAAAATAAAGACTTGGACAACATAATTTAAGACCTTTTAAGGCCTTAATTGAGGAACATGAAATTTGAGACCGTTTGAAGACTTTTAAGACCCCGCGGCTAAAGGTCTTGAGATGACGTTCGATCAGTTTCATTCCGTTGTCACGTGATGCAAGTCAGGGAGACCAGGACAAGATGGTCCGGTCGCACGCGAGTTGGTCCCAAAAAAAAAATAAAAAATACTAGTACTTCTGCAATTTGGCAGCATTTTGACTTCAGGCGCACATTTGTTTACGTTTTACAGAAACAAAACTTCAACCACATGACTCATTTACATAAACTAAAGCGGTGATTAAAAACAGCTCGCTCCTTGTGCGCTGATGCGGTTCTGTCAGCTTCTGTGGGACTAAAGGACACGACTCAGTAGAATATGAGTGTTCTTTCTGTGACAGAGGGGTGTTCTGCTGATGGTGAGTCTGTTCAGTCTGTGTGTCGTGTTGGAGATGGTTCATGTAAAACTTTTAGAGATTATAAGTCTGCGGGTCATACACGTAGATCGTATAGCTCACCAAAGTCGTACTAAAACATTCTGATATACCCCAGTAAAATCCTGAGGAGGTTTAACAGTCTCAAAATTTGGATACTGCCCAATGCTTGTCCCTCATCACTAGACCTTGGCGTGCCCCTGCAGCTGACTCTGTACCTTGAGCATCTTCTTGTTGGTGGAGTTTTTGCCGCACTGGCGTCGCAGATGTTCACTCATGCTCTGCAGCTCTCGTCCGAAGTGGATCATGCGCTCGATGGCGGCCTGGCTGCCTCCACACAACTGCCTCTTGGACTGCACAGACTCCACCTCTGTGAAGAGACGGAACACTGAACTTTACAACGCACAGTACACCAGTGTTTCCCACACTTTTTTCTGGGGACCCATGTTTTAAAAGTCACAACCCTTCACGACCCAAGTCAATCGTAAATCACAAAATAAATGGTGGATTTGAGCATTATTGAACATGAACTCTTTCCCCCATGAAGGCAACATTTGATGACTCCCCTTGTTTCCTTAATGACGTGTTTTGAATCCTCCACTGTATCACTAAAGACGTAATTTGACGACCATTACAAACGAATCGGTTTTTCACACGTAAACAGAGGCTGTGATCAGTGGGGGCCACTACAACCCACACTAGGCTGACCAATAGGCTTCAAGGATACGTTTTCGCAATTTTTTTTTACCAAGTTAATCAAAGTAGTGACAATTGTAGCGTTTGGAGAAAACACAACATGAAGCACGTGCGATGGAAAGATTGCGGCGTGCAGTTTTACAAATAATGAGGGACATATTTTATGGATCACTTTGGAGAAAGGGATTTTTATACCGTTTCTGATGATATGAAATCTGTTTAAACCCTTTGACAAATATATTTTTTACATTTTTTATGAATATAGTACTCAGAACATGCATATATCAGATGCTGAATGTAGTTTTTTGTTTTCGATTTTGCACCTGACCAGGTAAACTGTCATGTTCAGTGAGCCGTTATAAACCTGTAAATGAGTTGAATCACATTTGAATATCCATAAATGAAGAGTTCAGAGTCTAAGGTTTCTAGAGACGCCAAACATGTCTTTGTTTCAATAAAGATCATGAGTGTGAAAATAATTTCTAATCACTCGTGGAAGTCTGTTTTCATTTATGCAGTTATGCTCTGTGGGTCGCCCTAGTAATACATGTATGGGTTGTTCCTAGTCGGCGTCCAAGGGGGAAAGAGTTAATGAGGATATTTTATTGTTGACTGAGTGATCGTGTCTCTCTGAATCAGTATTACTCAAGTTTTAAACAATGATAAAGACTAATAAAAGGATCCATAAGTCGCCTAGTTGGACATTAAATGCAGAACATTTGTTTTTCTTTTCAACATTCAATTGAACCAGCAATATTGGAACAAAATAGTCAATAAAATAATTACAAAAAGATTAGAAATTCTACAAAACATGTCTTAACCTTTCAACATTTCTAATGAGATAGGCGGGTCTGTCTGTGTTTTTGTAGCGTGTTCCAGTTCCGAGAGCGCAGCAGCAGATGAGGCGCAGCATTCAGTCCGTTTCTGTGCTTTGTCTTCATTTTTGTGAGCACGGAAAATCTCATGTGTCAGAGCTGTATATATCGCAGACCTACATGCAGATCGTGACAAGGCGACCCCCCCAAAAAAAAAAAAAACCTCTTGCGACCCAGTCTTTGGGGAAACGACGCTCGGTGCAGGGCCTGCCTGTGACGCACAAGAACTGTCCACACACATGAACAGGCCTGAACAATCTCTGCCCTCCATTAGACATTAGGCGCATGCACTTGAGAGCACTTGGTTCGCTGAATAGTCCAGACTTGCCCTCAGAAGCCCTTTTGAATAGAGCTGAGCGTTCATATTTTATTACTTATTTTTCCATTTTATTTTGACTTGTACATATACGTAGATATTTCTATAATTATGCCTTATTTGACACCTGCCTCTTACTCTTTTTGCTGCTACTTATTTAGAATTTATTATTACCATTTATATTTTAAACTCTTTATTATATTATATTATGATGTGTGAGCTCCTGTGTCCAAATAATTTCCCTTGTGGATCTGCTCATGTTGCTGAAGATCTCGTTTTCAGTTTAACGTAACACACCTGAACACAACATCGGGTTCTCTACTGACAATTTGGCCTCACTTTTTTTAATTTTCTTGTTTATACTTAAAAATTACCAGTTACATCAATATTCCCACAGTGTACAGGTCTATTGTAAAACATGATGTCAAGTGAAAGCACTAACCCATGTCTGCGTCACAGTCCTCGGGCTCCACGGCGTGTTTGGAGCTGCCGTTCAGAAAGCCGTTGGTCGGTTCAGACACTCCATTGGTGAAGTGGTCCACCTCCATGTCCACGTCATTACTGAGAGAAAAGCACATACAAACATGAGAAGAGCGTGAGAAGAGCGCGAGAAGAGCGAAGGTGTAATTAGTGTCTGAATTACAGGCTCACTTGAGAAGGTACATATGATTCAGAGTACATGGTATTCAGCTTTTATATTGTGACATTTCTGAATTGTTACACTCCTACTCTTTGCACAATGTGGATCAATCCATGATGCAGGACCTACGATTTGAATATTTGCAATTCCCCACAATACATAAAAACTAAAAACAAATTTGTGTAATTATTTCAGCTTTGATAATGACAACTGACGTGTAGCACTGGGCGGTAGCAGAAAAAAATAGATCAACATCAGAATCTTTTTTCCCCCATATTGACTGATCTCAATTTTTGACTCCATCTCTTTTTTTTCCCCATGTTGATACGAGCGACGACTCTGGAGAACTCATTTAACGTTTGGAATGAATTTGTACAATAATATTAAACATAATCTAAATACATGTGTGAAGAGAGTCACCTGGAGAAGGTCTGCGTGCGGCTGCCGTTCAGACTGACATCCAGAGCAGGACCAGGGGCCGAGCCGGGGCCGGGGCCCGGGCAGGGCTTATGACTGTGAGGAGAGCTGTGCGCCTTCGATGTCACTCCATTACAGCAGTTACTGTCAAACCCTACAACACAGCAAACATTGAATAACCAACATCTGTGTTCAAGGCCAACGCCTTGAAAACAGTTATAAAACATCTATAAAAAAAATGCAGCTACCAAGAACCACGTTATTCATGTTAGAAGTCTGGATAATACCCTCGATTGGATTGTTCTTAAAATGTTCATAAAACAAAAAAATGTGTCCCTAGATTTTAACATTATTATTTTTTTATTCTAATGTTGAGGCAAGTAAAGAATACTTTTTGTCCCTTTACGGACTGTGATCTGGGTAATGCCTGTGAGGTTGGGTTGTGACGGTTTGGGGAGGAGGGGGTAGTACCTGTCAGGGTTTGGGGAGGGGAGGAGGGGGGTAGTACCTGTCAGGTACGGCTGAGAGCCGCTGAAGTTCCGGGGTGAGCCTGGGTAACTGTCCTGAGACTTGGGGCTGCGACCTCCCAGACAGCGCACCTCACTGTCTGTGCCGTTCACCATCTCGATGAACTGACGCACTCTGCACACACGAGGGGAGAGGAGGTACAGATAATGACCAACAGTTTTAATTATGCAAAATAAATGAGCTTTTAAGCGTTAAAAACATTGTTTCCTCAGACACATACATATTATATTTGAAGCTTAATTAATCACATTTACGAGGCCCTCTGACCACTCAGAAATCACAAAATGTTCCCAAGATGTGAAGTTCAAAGTAGAATTCTGTTCATAGTTATCACCAGACTGAAACTGAGTAAATATCAGTATTTTGTATGGATCAGCTCATCATTACTGCCAGTACATGGCAAATCAATATATTCACTGAATGTGGAGGTAAATGTACTCGAGAGCATAATATGTGTCCTTTAGCGTTAACACAAAATGATAAAAACAGATTATTCCATGTCCTGCAGGCTGCACATATTGTGTGGACTCACTTGAGCATGAATAGCAGATCGGGGTTCCTCTCCAGAAGGCTGGGGTACAGTTGTTGGGTGGTCTCTATGGCCTCACCCATTCGCCCTGACAACACCAGCTTCTGGATTTCTGTCAACGACACAAACAGCTTTACTTACTATTGTAAAACATCACAATATACACACTATGACAGTCACTTTTTACACTATTCGCTTAAATAATCATCCACAGATTTCCTTTTCAATTAGACTTTGTTGTGGGGACAACAGAAACTGTTGTCCAGTGTGGGACATCCTGTCTCAGTCTGACATGAGCAGAGAGCAGAGTGCAGCGCCCAGGGACTCTTCATGAGCTATGTCGACGGTCAGGAGAACCTCACTGGAGGATAATAACACAATGTGCATGTAATGTACCAGAAGAAATTCACCCACACACAGGGAGAACAAGCAAACACCAGCCAGACTAGAGCACTAGCCTGTTATTAGTCAATTAGTAGTCAGTCAATATTGAGTTACCGTCACTCGGATATACTGAAAAGCAAAGACTCCAGTGCAGACTTACTCTGTCTGTTTTTGATGGAGGCCAGCTCTTCGTGCACAGCCTGATCGGTGGATTTGGCGAAGGCTTCGGCAGTCGCGCAGTAGCTGTGGTGCACCAGATATGACGCCACCATCCTGAGGAGAGACGGAAATACACTCACTGCCAAAATATTTATGATTAACAATACTTAAAATTGCTGAGAAATTGTTATGGATATTACAAGGTACTGTACATATCCTGCACTATTACCATTGAAAAAAATGAATAAATCTACAACCACAGCTGAACCTGGGCTGGTAGTGCCTTAACCTGCAAATAAAAAGGACACATACAAGGTTTTCCTCATTCTCAGCAGATGGACAGACTATGCCTCGCATGAAAGTTCAGAACCTCCCGAATTCACTCACTGAGCTGCACTAGCACGGATTAAAAATTGTCTGTCTGTGCTGGGGTTTAGGTGGAGTCTTAAACCAATTGGATTTCAGCATAGAAACTGGCAACACAAATTAGAGACTCATGTGAGGCTCATTCCGCTTTCTGATTGGATAATCTGCTTGAACCAAAACACCAAATTATAAACATAAATGAATGGAACATGTCCAGTGTCAACAAAAACTAAATTCTATGTCTGAAAATTTGAATATTGTGAAAAGGCTCAATACTGGAATGTCCCGGTGTCACACTCTAATAAGATAATTAGCCCAAAGCATGTGCAAAGGTTTCCTGAGCCTTTAAATACTCTCAGTCTGGGTCAGTGGGCTACACAATCATGAGGGAGGCTGCTGATTGGACAGATGTCCGGAGGACAGTCGCTGACTCTCCCCACAAGGAGAGTAAGACACAAAAGGTCACTGCTGAAGAAGCTGGAGTGGTGGAAAAAAGTGTAGTCGGAAAAGGTGGACCAGCCAGAGGGATGACTGCAGCGCTGAGAGAATAGTCAAGCAAAACTCACTTAAGAGTTTGAGAGAGCGGTTGGGAAATCGATCCAGCATTTCTGAAAACAACCTAACACACTGTTTCTGTTTGTAAACATGAAGGTGTGTGAGGTCATTTTCACGTTACTGCGCTCTCTGAACTGACCCCAGCGCACTACATTTTGTTCTGTTTACTTCTTCTGGATAGATCGTGTTCACATACACCACGCATCATTCACCCCAAACACACACCATGAGCCACGTGAGAGTCCATCAGCTGATCGGCAAATTTATTTCCTTGGCAACACGCCTGACGCAGACAGAGAGCCCCGTGAATGTGCACACATCCACTCACTTCCCCTGTATGTGGTGTCCTTTTCTGTCACCTATGGCTGATGCACAGTGAGAGCTGAACGTGCTGCTGGTGGAGGAGAAAACACGTTTTAAACAACACAGACAGACCCAGGCTCAACTGCACAGACAGAGGCAGGAAACGTGCTGCTGATATTAAGTTGAATCCAAATTTCGTCAGACAAATGTGGCAGCTCTGTAGCGCTCATGCATACGATATACATGCGAGCGCTTTTTTGTCCAATTCCGAAAAAGTGGACTGCATACGTTGGCCCGAGGTTCGCCGCGTTCATGCCACACTCGCCCTGCTCCAAAGGGTGAGTGAAGCTGCTCCGAGACCTACTGTTGCAAGCGCTCTTAATGTGATTCAGAATGTGTCATGTTCACACTGGCCCAAGCTCTCCGAGTGAATGCTCTTTTGCGTCGGCTGACCTAGTAGCAGTGTGAAAACGACCTTAGTTTCAGAGAAGTTTCAGCGTGCTCCTTCCTTCAGGCTGATATGAGGCAGCAATCTATTCATTCATTCATTCACTCAATTTCATTTCTTTCCAGCGACTTGGTCAGGAATCGGAATACACTAGACGGTTCACAAAAACTCCAGAAGTGCGAGTTCGGGCACCAGACAGTTTCTACGAAGTGAAAGCGGCTGATGAATCAGGCTAGCAGCAATCAGCAGTCTTCAGCAATCTGACCAGAACTGAAGAAGCAGCTTGGATGAGCTGCAAAATGACTTCACTCTTTTGTCCAGTTGATAGAATTTAATTTTTCTTTTGATTTGGATTCTACCTGGTCTTCTGAGGGATTAAAAATACATTTTGACAATGATTTGCAATGATTTTAGGTTTTATTTTACAACCACTGCTCGCCTTGATTGCCCTGACCACACACCACTGAAAGACGATGACATATGTTGACGATTATTACAAGTACATAAAATATACTACAGTATTTTTTGGACTATAAGTCGCACTTTTTTCATGGTTTGGGTGTTTCCTGCGACTTATATATTAAAATTTTCAGACTGACAGCCGTGAGAGGCTCTAGTCTTGTGTGTCAATATTTAGTACTACTACTCCTGTACCACTGTCACTTTGCACTTTACCGCGCAAGTCTCCTGTAGAAAAAGCCCACTGTCCTGCTGCAGATGGTGAAATATTCAGCTAAAAACAATAATTGAGCGGCAAAAAGAAAGTTTGGAGTGAAGCGAGAAACTTGTGAGGGACGAGGAACACAGCTTCACAGCAACCGGGAGGGTGCACCATGAAACTTTCCTGGAAGTCATTGGATCAATCGACAAAGCCTGAAGTTCAATGACAATCAAAACCATTCTGTTGGGATTCAGAAAGGCTGGAATAATTCTAACTGGAACTGATGCTGATTCTGATGACAGCTACACAGAAGAGGAAGCGGCGCTCTGTTTACATCATGGGTTTATCTCCAGAGGCCATGCAAAAGTGACACAGAGGATGAAGAATTCAATAGCTTTAGTGATTTGGAGTGAGATCGTGAGTTTGGTAAACTTATGTTATGTTGTTTATACTATAATTATCTGAATAATAATTGTTAGTATGTTAAGTTAACCTATTAACACCTATTCAGCCTGTTGTTCTCTGTTCTATTGTTATTACTAGAACATAAAAAGTCGGTTCCTGCTCTCTGATTTTATAAAATACATTTCCCCCAAATGTGTGACTTACATATGTTTTTTTCTTCTTCATTACACATTTTTGGCTGTTGCGACTTATACTCCGGAGCGATTTATAATCCGGAAAATATGGTAAGTGTTATTGTTGTTACTGTTATCTAACCCTAACTCTTAACACTTTATCGATGGGATAAGATACTGCGAGGCGAGACTGTGTGCACGCAGGAAAAACGATCTCGCCAGATTTTCCCCTCCGTCTTTACATTAGGCTCAGGAATGAAAAGGTTATGGGCATCACTACGGAACCTATCTCACCTCTCGTCTCGTGAAATTTCAGTCTCGTCCCACCCTCACTACCCTTTATAAACCACACAAAACAATCACGTTTTTAAATATAGTTTCTTGTCCCATCCCTACAGAAAACCGAGGCACTCACTTCTGGATCATGGACTGCCACTCCCCCTCCCGCTCTCCGATGGGGAAGCGTTCAATCTGTGCTTGGATCTTGGTCCTCCACTCCCTCATGTAGTCCTCGATGTCAAACACAAACGGGTGCTGGCCAAAGTTTGCATCCACCACCTCGCCCGGGGTCTGGAGGCCCACTGTGGGGTACAGGTTTGGCTGCGCGACAAGAGCAGAGAGTAACATGAGTATGAAACGTACGGAACGGGCCGCAGTAGACCTGTCATGATAATTACTGTATTGATTTATCGTTTCTTATATGAAAGCTGGAACGATAGAACATTTTTTTTGCCATTTTTGTGTAATAACATAAGATTTGAGTAGTGAGAGCAGAATAAATAACTTCTATTAATTACTGGTTCATTCTGCCTTTTATTTGTTGAAGCTCAGGCCTTTAATGAGACAGAATATTTAAAATTTGGTTTACTGGTTTATCCTCCTTTATGTCAGTGGCATGAAGTAGTTGAGTATTTCTCTGTAGCGATAAATTGTGGTTCAACATTTGTTATCGTGTCAGGGTTAGGACACGGTCTATGTTTTCTAAAGGTTTGGACTACTGTGTTAAAGGTACTGCACCACATTTTTATGGTCTGAAAATGTGAAAAACAGAACTAGTTTATTTGAAAATGTTTGCAGTGATCAAAAGTTATTCCTCTTTTACCAAATGCATTTAAATCAAAGCAGCACACAGGGTTCTCACTCTTTTACACTGACAAAAATTCTAAACTTTTCCAAGATTTTTTCATGACCTACAGTGAATTTTCCATGACTTTACGGCACCTGCATGCGTAGAATTGATCAGACTTTTAGAGGTAAATATGAAATGTCAACTCTTTCCACTCACCTTATGGTTTGGGATTATAGTTTTTTAACATTCAAAATCCTGTCAGTGTCAGAAATAATCATAATAGTCTAATGAGAACGTAACAGAACGCCGGAGTTGCGTGAAAGAGATACTAAAATTCTATGACTTTTCCAGGCCACTTTTCCAGGCCATGACATTTTCAATTTCCATAACCAGAGGTGGGGACTTGCAAAGTCATGACTTGGACTCGAGTCAGACTTGAGTCACTATTTTTAGGATTTAGGATTTGACTTGATGAAATGGACTAAAACTTGTGACTCGACTTGGACTTGAGGCTCAATGACTTGGGACTTGACTCAGACTTGAGAAGATTTGAGACGTACTTTAAAATCTGAATTTGTTCCATTTTGACTGTAATAATTCACACCATAATCTTGTTGAGACATTTAAAAAGGAAAAAAATAACTTTTCTACAACTCTCACATAAATACTCATAAATATACTACAATTTTTTAAGTACAATTTATCTTAAAATTCAAATAAATTGCAAAAATGTAAGCTTTTAAAGACTTGAAATGACTTGAAGCTCAAAGAAGATGACTTGGACTTGACTTATGGGCCAGTGACTCGAGACTCGACTTGGACTTTTCTGTCTCTGACTTGGGACTTGACTCGGACTTGAGGTCAAAGACTTGAGATTTGCAAAACAACGACTTGGTCCCACCTCTGTCCATGACTTTCCCAGGATTTCCAAGACCGTGGGAACCCTGATCATAATTATTCACCATGAGTTTGAGAGTTATGAAAAAGCACTGATAGCAAAACTCCACTCTGGTCCCTATCAATAACAAACTAAGGACTAACATGCACTTTTTACAACATAAAATATATTTGGCTGTTTGTAGAAGGCATCAATCATCAATCAATTAGATGTTCTACGTTACTCCGACTGCACAAAGTCTAAAACTATAACAAACATGATCAGTCCTGATAGAAAAGAGAAGACTTTGGCCACAGTGGGGGGAGGATGAGGAGGATCACGATTGTTTGTGGTGTTTGACTGACGGCTGGATGGAGGGTGGTACTTACTGGGAGGTCTGTGAAGGCGATACCTGCGGAAACAATGCACAGACATGAATCCACATCTCTCCAGTCTCACATATCAGCTCAAAACAAGTGATACAGGAATATTTACTAGCTTTATGTGCACAAATACAAGTGAAAAGACTATGTAGACAATCCTTTCCTTAAAGAGGGGGTATTAATTACTAACACATAACATAGTCATCATGTTACCTTTTAGTGTTTTGAAAATGCTATATTCACAGAAAGCAGCAAGTTTCTGTTTCCTTTTCACACATGCATGGATGAAAACCTCTTCTGACATGTTTTTGATGTGGGAGCAAAGTTATAACATGGTATAAATCTTCAAAATGTTAATTAAAAATAAGGGTGCCCCATATCTGTGAACTGGTCTTTATAACAAATCACTGAACTCGTCCGATCTTTAACAAATATCCAGCCCAGTAACTTGAGAATCATCCAAACTAGTCTTGAAATGTAAGATCCGTACCTAGACTGTGTCCGTTCTTCGTGTAAAAACAGGTGTTGTTGATGAGATTGACGCAGCAGCCGATCACGTCGCCGGTCGTGAAGGTCGGGCCGTACGGTTGGCCGGTCCCAGAGGAGCAAAAAGAGTGTCCGTCGTCTCCGTGGTAACCGTACGAATGCTTGTCCCAACCTAAAGTCAAAGCAAATGGGCCCAGTTTAGACCGTAGACTGTATGAATAAATGGACGATGCACTTTAGAAAATGGGAGCGAGTGTGGGCTGTTTTTAAAGACTATTTATTATCTTCCAGCTCCTTCTGACTCTGGCTTCAATTGACTTACACTGGAATATCGTCGTCCCTCTCTCTGTAAATGCAGCTGTGAGCCTCGTCATTTTGGTCTTAAAATGTTCGTATTCACCTGCTCATGATCTTGGGTTTTTATTTTGCCATTTTGTCAGTAAAAAAAAAAAAAATCCTACTCATAATATAGAACCTGGATCCAAATTCGCCCGTGTAACCTTCAGCATTGCGAGCTTCATTTGAGTGGCGCTCACAGTTAAGCCCAATTTTCGGTCGTGCGTCAAATCGTCTGCGTCACAGCACAGAGTCTGCGTCACCGTGAACCACCTCCGCAGAGAACTGTAATTAGTTCTAATTAGAATAGCTATAGTCGACGCAGCACTATAATTCGGCCTTTCCGGTTCTGCGTCAACTCAACGCACACTGCTGCCACACTCCTCGCCTTGTCGCCGTCATTTTTGATTTATAGATCTGCGTCGAGGTCTATGCGCCGCGAAGTAATTCATCGCCACAACCCTAGAAGGAGAGGATTTAAAACTGGCATTCGTGTTGACAAAATGAAATACGAGAAATGTATGTAGAGCGGATGTAGAGAAGACCAATCACAGTCCCTATTGTCTGCGTCGCTTCCCCTTGTTTTTCTGCGTCGGTTCGAAGCATAGTTAGAAAATTTCGGCTGTGCACGTTGGTCGGTGGAAACGCTCTGTGGAGGGGTTTCACGGCGATGCAGAGTCTGCTTCACAAAGTAGATGATTTGACACAACCATAAATTGGGCTTTACGGGGTGAATTTGGTAGCCCGATTCATCAGCCGGTTTCACTTCGTAGAAACCGTCTGACCTCGCAGCATTAGGATTCGTTCGCTTGACGGTAGGCGGTTACTTTTTTTTATTTAACCAAACGCTGCTATTTGGTCGTGACGTATGTAATGCATCAAATCCCGTAGGAAGAAGGACAATAACGTCTTTCTTCTTGATAAAATTCACCAAACATTTGTTCCAGCTTTAAATCCTCGATCTCGGGAATCGTTGACAACACAGAATGTCTGGCTCTTTGCTGATTGGCTGGTGCCCGAACTCACACTTCCGAGGTTTTTGCGAACCGTCCAGTATATTTCGATTCCTGACCTAGTTGCTGGAGAGAAATGAAATTGAGCGGAGGCACTAGGTATGAATTCGGAGCCAGGCTCAATATTATGAGTAGGGTTTTTTTGACTGACAAAATACAGGAAAAAAAAAAAAACAACAGGAACATGTGGAGCAGGTTAATACAAACATTTTAAGACCAAAATGATGAGGCTCACAGCAGCAGTTAGAAAGAGCGAGCAGCAATATTCTAAAGTCAGTCAATTGGAGCCAGGGTCAGTAGGAGCCGGAAGCGTCCCCTGGCGCACTTCCTATTGGAACGCAGCGGCTAGTGCGTTGGTTATGTCCATTTATCCAGTCTATTGTCACTACATACTCGCTTAGTCCACCTTTTTATACGTCTCTGGTTTAGACTAAATAACAGTTTGGATTGTGGCCACAGTGTGCACTAGATGGAGTCCCGACTATAAAGATGATTTATTACAAATGCACATGACATAAGAGCTTTTGATCAAATCTGAGCAATGTTCAAGGAAGTGAAATGACCCAAATTTGGCACAGTGCACTGGTTGAAAAAGATTAGGAATAGGCAATATTTTGGTTCTAGTATCGATATTTGTCATTTGTCATTCCCAGTTTGACCTCAGTGCAACAGATTTATCCTTTTGAACAAACTCAGAGAAGTCAAAATGGAAATGAAAAACACATTATGAAAAAATATGGCAGTGTCTTTGTATGTCCACGAACACGCAACTAATTATTTTATATCCTAAATAAATACATTTTCTTATCATTTATACAAAAGTGAAAAAGTTCATTCGTGATCAGTACTTTAACTTAATATTAGGGATGTAACGATATTCAGTTCTCGTGATACGATATGTTCACAGTACGATATTTATTGCGGTATTGTGCATTGTGCTTATGCTACTTTTTTGTCATAATCAAAAAATAATGAGATTTAAAAGTGCTTTATAACAATCATTTCATCATGTAGACAGAGCAAAGGATCATGGTCTATGTAGTTCTCTATTTTTTTTTTAGTTGATGCTATGAATTTAAGCAAAGAAACTTGTAATTTGAAATATTGTGATGGTCCACGATATTATTGGGAGACTTTTGGCGATACGATATCACGATATTTCAGTTATTGTTACATCCCTACTTAATATACTGTACCTCTGTGGGCCTTGCTATGGATTTTAAAAGCTAAATATCGTCATGAGAGCCAATCAGAGAGCTGGCGGTGTTTACTGCGCCACGTACCTGCTGCGTTCGTCTAAAAAGTTACTACACGACGAAGAATTTCCGCCGAACGCAAGAGCTGTGATTGGTTGATCCACGAAAACTATACAGCTGATTAGGGATGGGCATGACTAATCGATTAATCGATAATTGATCATTAAGAATTTCATCGATTACGTTAATTTTAATGGACAAGCCGAATGTAGGTTGCTGTGCGTAGTGTGACCAAACGGGTCCGTACATGTGTCTGTCTGCATCAGAAGGAGCGAGACACAAACAGTGGGTCAGTCTGTAACGTACCGAAGCACAAATGTGTATTTAACGATGACTTGTACAAGAAATTCCACACTTTCCGTTGCGTTCGGGACAAGTGTGAGTCCATGTCCACAGTGTATAAAGCAGCACATATGTTTCTGTGTCCAGTGGGAAAAAGTTTTCCAGGTGAGAGTCGCGCAATGTCGATGATGAGTCCCCACCTCCCTCCCCCCGTACAGTGTCCTGGTTTTGACAAACACAAATATGGTCACACTAACCTGTATTCCATTGAGTCATGTCCTTTAATCTGACAGAAATTTAACCACATCAGCGACACAAGAGCTGTAGTTTTATCTTCGCTTAGTTTATGCAAATTAGCGATGCGGTTTTAAGTTTCGTTTCTGTGAGAGTTGAACAAACTGAATTAAACACATTATAATGTCAGATTGATGTGGCTCTAGAGTCGTTACAGTTTATATGTCGTCAAGTTGAATATGCAGATTAGTAGTGCAGATAGTAATAATAATGATGATCATTTTAATCTAAAAACGTTAATGATTAATCGATAATCGATCGTTAATTCTTCCGACGATCGATTAAGAAAATTTCATCGAATGCCCATCCCTACAACTGATTAAAACAGCTCAGAACGGGTCAAGTTTGGCACGGAAATGTCTGAGCATGAGTCTAATGTGACCGTTTTATTGTCACAGTAAATATTTAAATAAAAATAATGAATGCAGTTTATATTGTTTAGAGCGCGGGGGTGTAAATGAGGATAGATTGGAGCAATAACGTCTTGAACAGAGGAGAATAATGATTAGTCAAGCTCGCATGAATAACCGAATGCACCTTTGAGAGGGTAAATGACAAGGAAACAATCATAATGATTACAGTTAAAACTCTATATATCACAATATGTCTCCTTTAAAACAACAAAAAGGTGGCTTTGGAAATAAGATTGTGTCTCGAGAGGCGTCTGAGAGCTGGTCCGGCGAGGCGTGCTGCTGTAGTGAGTGAAACAGGCAGAGGAAGACAAAGAGAGTGGAGGAGGGAGGTGAGGGGAGGGGGAAGAGCTGTGGACCACACCCAGAGCGGCTCTCCTTACCTGGCAGCCTGTTCATGTTGACGCCCTGAGCTGACAGGCCAATGCCCATGTACCTGGAAAACACAAGACAGGAGGATCAGGAGCAGCTCCACCAAACATCTGCTCAACACATGTTTTCAAGTATTCAAAATTAAATCATAAAAGTACGGAAGCCGAGAGGGGTCACAACAAAAGCAAACGCCGCAACAAAAACAAACGCGACAACACAACAAAAAGCCACAACACAACAAAAAAAAGCCACAACGGATATGACCGCGGGACTATTTTAATGCAAACGCCAAAATACGAAAAATACGAACGCCACAACAAAAACGCAAATGCACACAAACACATTAAAAAGCCGCAACACATTAAAAAGCCACAACACATTAAAAAGCCACAACACATCAAAAAGCCACAACGGAAGTGACCGCGGGACTCTGTTTTCTGACGGACCGATCAAGCGGCAAGTGAAGAAGAACTACAACGTGAAAAGTAAAGGAACAGAGAAGTTGGAAACGTAAGTAAAAGTAATTTATTGTTTTATCATTATTCGTTTCACGTTGTAGTTCTTCTTCTTCACTTGCCGCTTGATCGGTCCGTCGGAAAATAGAGTCCCACGGTCACTTCCGTTGTGGCTTTTTAATGTGTTGCGGCATTTACGTTTGTGTTGTGGCGTTTATTTTAATGCAAACACCGCAACAAATACAGAGTCCCACGGTCATTTCCGTTGTGGCTTTTTGTTGTGTTGTCGCGTTTGTATTTGTTGCGGCGTTTGCGTTTGTTGTGTCCCCTCTCGGCTTCCGTATAAAAGGCCTGTGAACAACGTTTTCAACTAAGCCTGTGCAGTGAATTGAATTATGATTGACACACAAATCGAAATCGAACAAGCAATCTCCAAACTCATATAATCAAAATGAAACGATAAAGCTTAACAAAGTTCATTTTGGGATTTTTTTTATATCCTCCTGGGACCCAAAGAAAAAAAGTGTATTGCAATATATTTTTTTTTTGTAATTTTCTCTCTATTTGGAGGTTAATTAACACCTTAGCATTTAGATTTTGTTCATTTTATTTGTATTTATAACTTTATAACATGTCCTCTGTAATAGATGCCAAAGACATTTTGGTGTTAAATCCATCTGAAGTTGACAACCGAACAAAAACAACTTTTTCTACGGTCGCCTCAAAATGTTTTTAGACTCCCTTTTAATTTCTTCTTTTCTTCTTAATATCATAGTGCAGCCACAAACTAACACCTATTGAATTTTTTTTTTCAAAATCCTGGACTATAATCCCCAGCCCTATTTAGGCAGAAGAACCAAGTCCCCCATTAATAGTCTGTCTTAAAACACTTAAAAGATAAACTGGTTAACTCAATGTCCACAATAAAGGACACAAATGAATGGGCCAAGTCTCAGGAGGATATAAATTACTATATTTATTTATTTTTTTGATTATAGAGATTGTAGAACAGCTGGATATACAATTTATTTTGGATACATTTATGTTTTCGATGCCTTATTTCATGTTCAAAGTCTATTTTATTAATTTTATGTTTTATACATCGCAAAACTGCTTTAAAAAGGTTCATATTTGTAGCCTATACTTATTTTCAACTTCAAAGTTTTGTGTAAATTATCAACAACAAAGTGAGAGAAAAACGCTGAATAAACGCATTGTGTAACTAAAAAAAACTGTCTGAATAATCATGATTTAAATATTGACCAAAATAATTGTGATAATGATTTTTTTTTCCAAAACCAAGCAGCCCTATATAGTTAACAGTCTAACACCAAAGAACTTCTCGGTGAAGTAGGAATGGTGTATCAGTTATCGGCGGATGTCCATGTATATCGGTATCGGTCAGACATTGAAAATTTTGCCGATATTTGGCAAAGATATTTCTTCTGCACTGACCCAGTCTCTGTGTCAGAGGTGGGACCAAGTCGTTGTTTTGCAAGTCTTAAGAAAGTCTCAAGAGTTTAACCGCAAGTACGAGTCAAGTCCCAAGTCAAATACAGGTAAATCCAAGTCAAGTCTCGAGTCACTGGCCCCATAAGTCCAAGTCAGGTCCAAGTCTTTTGCTTTGAGCTTCAAGTCATTTCAAGTCTTTAAATCAAAGTACTAAATATAGCTTTGATTCTTGCAATTTTTTTAAAATTTTAAGACAAACTGTAAAAATTGTAAAACTCACAGTATATTTATATTTGAGTATTTATGGAGTATGTAAGAGTTGTGGAAATGTTCATTTTTCCATTTTAAATATTTTGACAAGATCTTAGTGTGAATCATTACGGTCAGAATAGAAAGAATTCAGATTTAAAAGTGTTTCTCAAGTCACGGGCCTCAAGTCCAAGTCGAGTCCCAAGTCTTAGTCCATTTTATCAAGTCAAGTCTCAAGTTCTAAAAATAGTGACTCAAATCTGACTCGAGTCCAAGTCATGACTTGCAAGTCCCCAGCTCTGCTCTGTGACCATGGATCATTTCCAGTTTGTCCTCGGTGCCTCAGATTTGTCTTTTTGAGCAGACCAAATTTGTGACATTTTTTACCTCAGATAAATACATTTTGTTATTATTTTTACAAAAGTGACAAAGGCTGATTTGTAACTTTACCACAAATTTGATCTTTGCTATGGATTTTAAAAAGGTTCATATCTGTATTAACAAATATCAGGTATCAGCCACAACAACAACAGTTCAGGTTACAATTTAATGAAC